CCCTATAAAGAATTTTAGAAATATAATAAGAATTATACTAATAATTTTATTTTTATATTCTATACTAACCTCAGGATATATAAACTTCTTAATAAATTATAATAAATAATTCTTTATTTATTCTAAATAATTATTAGCTTTAGAATAATAATAAGTCTTAAGAAAACTAATATTAATATAAGTTTTAGAATTTAACTTTTAGGTTATTCTAAAAGAATCAGTAAAATTATAAATATATATATATAATAATAATTACTAATCTAATAATACTAGTTAAAGAGTTTTATTATATTTATAAATAAAATAAAAAATACTATATTTAATATTCTGAATAGTAACCAGAGTAATCCTATAAATAAATATATAATTAATCTAAGTATATTAACTATTCTAATTAGTCTTAAATTAAAGAATATAATTATAATTAATCTAATAATAATAATTATTATAAAGACTATAATAATACTTATAATAAATATAATATATATATTATAAATAATAATAATAATATTATTAAAAATACTAAAATCAAAAGTTTTTTTATATAAATTAAAATTTTACTTATCCTATATAATAATTATAATACCCTCTTTATATTAAATAATAAATTATATAAATATTTATTCTATAATATCTAATTATTTAAGTTTATACTATTTAAAATTACTAATTCTTCTAAGACTTTATTTACTAATATTATTAAGTTTAATTATTATAAAAATATTAAAAATAACTAGTCTAAAAATTATTATATATATAATATTCTACTACTACTATAATTAATCTAAATACTACTAAATATTATATATCTATATATATTAATACTAGTTATTTTATAATAATTATAAATACTAATTTTACTTATTTTCTCAGAACTAAAATACAGTTTATAAAAGTATTATTAAATATATCTAGTATTAATTCTAAGTACTAAATAAATAAATATATAATATTTAAGGTATTTTTTCTTAAATAGCTCTAAAAAAACTACTTAATCTAATTTTATAGATATTTTTTATATATAGATATTACTATAAAAGTATATTTAATTAAGAATTTATATCCTAATTTACTTATTAGAACTAATATAATCAGATATAAAAATATTATTATTAATTATAAATATTAAACAGCTATTATTTAAGAATACTAAAACTTTATTTTTTTTATATAAATTTATATAAAACCTAACTATATTAATATACTTATTTATATAATATAGTTAATTATAGTATTACTATATTTAAAAATTTATTTATCTATTAAGATATATATTAATTTTACTAATATTAATTATATATTTAAATCTAAGAATAATATAAGAATATTAATATATATATATTTAGTTAATACTTCTTTTTTATTTATTAAAGTAGTAAATAATATATTTATTTTAGTAATTATTAGTTACTATACCTAAGTAAAAGTATTTATAAATAATAAGTATATTATAATATATACTATTAAAGATTATATTACTAAGCTTAATTATTTTATTATTTATACTAAAGTACTGTATTCTAAAAATACTAATATTAATAATAAGTCTTACTATAAGTATATCTTTAAAATATTAGTATATATTATTAATCTAAATATCTTTTTAGATAAAGTAAAACTTTTTTAAGTATTAATAATATTAAAGTTTTTTTTATCTATATATCTAGTTATATAGTCTAGTCTTTATATTAATAATCTAGATATTAGTAATATTATTATTTTATTTAATAATATTATTATTTATAATAATCCTGAAATTATTTACTAATTTAAAAAGATACTTATATTATATAATATATAGGCCCTACTGGATAGTTTAAATATTAATATAGTTAATATTTCTAAAAATTAATAATTATAAATCTTTTTTAAGAAAAAATAGAAAAATTATATATTAAAATCCTAAGTATACTAAATTCTAAAATATAATTAAAAAGTAATTAACAGTATATTTACTTTTTTATATATTATAAAAAAATATTATATATTATAAAATATATTTTATTATTCTATTTAATATTTATAATATAATATACTGTAAATAATATTTTTAAAGATTATATTATAGTTAATCTTTATACTACTAATAAAAAAACTAAATCTAATTACTATTTTATTTTTATATAAAAAGAAATTTTTTAAATAATTTAAGAATATTACTTATTAAGAATAAGAATAATCAGGTACTTATAGTTATTAATAAGTTTATAAAATATATTAGTATAATTAAAGGATAATCTATTATAAAAATAAATAAATAAAAAATTACTATTATATATTACTTCTAAAAATATAATTAAGATATTCTAAAGATCTTTATTTTTAATTATAATATTTACTTTATATTCTTTTTCTAGAAAAGATTTTTTTTATATTTTATATTTTATTAGTTTTATTCTACTACCTTATATTCTTAAATAGATAATTAGTTAAAATATATAATCTAAACTATTAAGATAATAATATATTATACTATAATTTAATAAAAGTTATAGTTTTCTATTATTTTATTTATTATTTTAATAATTAATTCTATTTTAAATATTATTATAAATAAGTTACTTTACTAATTATTTTTTAATATAAATCTCTAATAACTATAGTATTTTATTAAAAATATTTTAAATTATATCTAGTTATCTAAAAATAAATTTATTAATATTTCTAAAAATATTAGTATATCTAAATACTTTAAAGATATAGTTCTAAAATATCTAAAGATTAAAGTTATTATTTCTTTATATTATTAAGATATTTTTATTAAGCAGGTTAAAAGATATCCTAGATATTTTTAAAAAATCTTTATTATTAAAATTAATACTAATTAAGATTTTTTATTATATTTTAATACTAAGAAAGCCTTTAAGTTTATTATTATCTATATAAAAAAAATATATAATATAAAATATAAACTTATATCTTTTTATATTAGTAATTCTGTATATTTATATATATATAAAAAATATACTATTCCTATAGTTAAAAGTATTAAGATTAAATTAATATAATAATATATTAGCCTATTTCCTGTTATTAAAGTTATTAGATATTATATATATTATTTTAATCTTCTAAAATTATAGATTATTTATTTTATTATTTTTATTATACAGCTTAAGCCTATTTCTGTAGAGATAGATTCTTATAATTATATACTATTTTAGTTTTTTTATATTATTAATAAAAGATTTTCTAATAAAAAATATTAAAAAGTTTTTATTATTCTAAGAAAATATACTATTCTATATAAATATACTAAAAAGCTTATTATTAAATATTTTATCTACTAGTCTAGATATAATCCTACTAATAATATCTAAATCTATAAAAAGAATATTATAGTAGATAATCTAATTTATAAATTTAAAAATACTAGTTATTTTAATTATAATATATTATTTTCTTATATCTATATTTCTTTTTTTTTCTATTTTATAAATATAAATTATTTCTTTATATTTCTATTAATATTTCTATTTTATTTATTATTTATATATATATAATATTATTTTATAAGAATATTAATCTTATTAAACTAGTATATATAATAAACTTTAGTTTACTTAAGGATTCTGTTATTTTATCTTTCTACTATTTTTTATATTATCCTGGTAGAAGACTTCTTAGATCTCTGAATTTTAACTATTCCCAAGATTTCCTCCTAATTTAATCTTTTTATTTACTTACTTCTCAGCCTTAGTTATTAACTACTATAATAAATATATTTCTAATAATATTTTTTTATTTTAAAAATATAATATTATGTTTATTATAATAATAATAGTTTTTTTATATTTTTTTTTCTTTTTTTTATTTTATTAATATTATAATTTTCTAGATTTTATTATTTTTTTATTATAAAATACTTATTTTTAAGTAGTTTTTATTAGTAAATATTTATTAAAATATATATAAATATTATCTTATATTCTTTATTATTTAATAATACTAAGAAATTAATAAATAAATATAAAATTTATTATTTATTATAATAATTATTTATATAAATTATTATTTTTTATTTATAATATCTCTTAATCTAGAGATATTATTTTATTTAAAATATCTTAAAATTTTAATAAAATAGTTTAATATAAAAATAAATAAATTATTTAAATCTAACTATTATTTTAATATAATATTAAGTATAAAATATTATTAATATATTATAAAAAAAATTAATTATACTATTATAGATTCTTTTATATTAAATAAAAGAATTTAATTAATTATATTATAAATTATAACTAGAATATTTAAAAATATTAAAAAATTAATAATAATTCTTAAATAATTTAATTTTTTTTAATATAATAATAATAAAGAATAAAATTTTATTATTTATAAATTATATAATTTTATTATATATTTTTTTATTATAATATTTATAGATATAAAATATATTTATTATTTTAAATATAAATTAATAATAATTATTAAAAAAATTATAATTATAAATATTTTTTATAATTTAAATTAATTTTATTAATAATTTAATAGAAAAATATAAATATTTATTATAATTAAATTAAATTTTATTATATTTTTATATTTTAGATTAGAATTAATTATAAATTTCTAATATTTTTATTAGATAATATTAATTATTTATTTTAGATTTATATTATTATTTTTTATTTATATATTATAATTATTAAAGTTATATATTATTTTATTAATAGAAATAAAGTAAAGAAAATTATAATTAATAAAATAAAATAAAATTTTCTTATTTAAATTATATATAATTTATAAATATTTTTTTATTTTAATAATATTTTACTAGTAATAATACTTTATTATATAATTTTTTTTTATTATTATTATTAAATAAATATTAATTATACTTATATTTTAAATTATATAATAAATATAAGTATAGTTTAATTAAATATAATATATTATTATTTTATATTTTCTTTTATAATTATATATTCTGGATTTTATATTATATTATTTTATTATTAGTTTTTATATATATTATATATATATTTATAATTTTAATAACTGGATCTAGCTAAGATTTTAAATAATTAAATCTAATTAAAATAATAAAATATACTAAAAAAATTAATATTATTAATAAATATTTTACTAAATATAATATTTTTTTAATTTTATAAAGAAAATAACGATATTTTACTATATTTTTATTTTTTATATAAAAAATATTATTAAGTACTAGATTATTAATATCTAGAAATATAAAAATTATAAAAAGATTATTATTAGTAATATTTATATTATATTATTTAATTTTAAAATTATTCTAGAAATAAATTATATAAGTATTATATAATAATTTATTTATTATTTATTTTTTTTTTAAATTTTATTTCTTTAAATTTATATATTTTTATAAGATATTTATTAAGTTTTTAACTAATAATTATTAATTATATTCTAAAAATTATTTTTTTTATTTTATAAAATAAAACTAATTATTTTATAATATTAGATTATTTAATATTTATTTTATTTTCTACTTATTATTATTATCTAAATTAAATATAAATAATAATTTAGTTTTATTTCTCTTAGTTTTCTAAGATTTTAAAAAAGATATATAAAAGATATTATATAAATAATTATATTTTATTAATAAATATAAATAAAATATTTATTTTTTAATTATATTTATAATTTAGAATAATCTAATAAATTTAAATACTAGTTTATAAATTATTTCTTTAAATTTTAGATTGTTAATAAATAGTTTAACTAAGTTATTTTTTTTAAAAATATATATTATTTTATTTTTTTTTTAAAAAATAAGATATTATAATAATTATTATAATAAATTATTTATTTTTTAATAGTCTTTTATTAATTTTAATATAAATTTTCTTAAAAATTATTAAATTTTTTTAGTTTTTTAATAATAAATAATATTTTTACTTTTATAAAGTTATTTTTAATCTATAATTAAAACTCTAGTATATAATTTATAAAAATTTTAAAAAAAATTATTTTAATTAATATATTTTTATAATTATTATAAATAAATTTAGTTTTAGATAATATATTAGTTTAGTAGTTTTAGTTTTTTATAATGAAATATCTTAAATAATATTTTAAGATTTAATTTATTTTTTTAATTTAATTATTAATTTAAATATAGAATATTATTAATAATTTTTTTTTATTTTAATTTAGAAGTAAAAATCTAATTAAAATTAATTAATAAATATAAATTCTTTATTAATAATTATATTTATAGATAATTTATATTTTAGTTTAATTTTCTAATAAAAGATATTAACTAGTTATTTTATATTTATTATATATAATATAAATAAAAAATAATATAATTTTATAAAATAATTAATAATAATAAATATTAAATTAATTTAAGTTTTTTAATAATAAAACTTTAATAGTCTAGTAATAAAATTTATAATAATTTTAATTTAAAATTATAATAAAATTAATAAATTTTTAAATCTTTTATATAATTAATATCTAGAAATTATTTAATATTAATAGATTAAATATATTATTATATATTTTTTTATATATTTTTATAAATTTATCTAGTAGAATTTTCTTTAAATAAATAATTTTATTTTATTTTTTCTAAAATAATTTATTAATAAATTATTATAATAATATTATAGAATTTTTATATAAAAATTATTTAATTTAGATATATATAATCTTTTTTTAAAATATAATAATATATTAATAATAATATTTTAATTTTTTAGTTTAAGAATAGTAGCTTTTTATTATATAATATTTAAATTCTTAGATTATAATTACTTAATTAAACTTTTTAAATTTTTATTAATTTTATTATTATAGATATTTTTAATTTTACTAATTTATTTTACTACTAAAATCTTAATAATTTAGATTAGATCTCATATATAAATTATAATTTAGTTAATTAATTTTATATTAATAAATTTTATAGAACTACTTAATATTATATAAATATTAGATTTAGGTTTTTTTTATAAAGATATTTTATTATATCTAAATTAGGATTTTTTTTTAGATATTATTAAGTAATAAATTAAATATATCTAAAATATTTATATAATATTATTATTATAATTATTATTTATTATATTTAAAAAATCTAGATAAGATATTAGTAAGATTAGTTTTTTCTAATCTATATTTAATAATAAAATTATAGAATATTAATTCTATATATTAATATATTTAATATTTATTTAATTATAATTAATTTATAAAGATTTAAAGATTTATATAATTTAATAAAATTTTAATAATATACTAAATTTCTTCTAGATATTAATACTAGTATTTAAATAAATAAATAATAATAAATAATTTTTAATTTAAGATTATTTAATTTAATTTTATTTTAATAGATTTTTTTAATTACATAATAATTATATAAAATTAGTTTATAAATTCTAATTATATAAGAATTCTAGTTATTTTTTATATAGATATTAATTTTAATTTAAATTAATAATTTAAAATTAAAAAAATAAAATAATAATATTCTCTAGAATATATTAATAAATTAATAAAATATTAATTATTTATTAAGTATAAAATAATATAAACTAGATTTTTTATTATTTTGATTATTTTTTAATAAATTAATTAGAGATAAGATAAGTAATAAAAAATTATAAATAAATTATTAATAAAATTTATAAAATTTAAAAAAAATTTATATTTTATAAAAGCTTTTTAATAATAATTAAAAAATAATAGTATTTATTTATTAAAAGTCTATAATAATATTTTAAAAAGATATTATATAATTTAGAAATTTAATCTAAATCTAAAAAAAAAATGTTTTAAAATTTTAATATATAAGTCTACTTTTTTTAATTAACTTAGAATTTACTTAATATATTTAATGTAATTAAATTTTATTATTAAAAAGATAAGAATATTATTTAAATAAATAATATAAATAATATGAATAATATTAAGAATATTATATAATATAAAATAAATATAATATTAAAAGAAGATAAGAATATTAATTAAATTAAATAATATAATTAAATATTTAAAATAATTATAATATATTTAAGATATAGTTTTTACTTATTTTTTTTTAATATAAATTTAATAATAAATATTTTATATATTAATTTTATTAAAATATTTATATTTTATAAGATAATTAAAAATCTTCATAATAAATAAAAAAAAATAATAATTTTTAATTATAATCTTATTAAGATTATAATAATTTATATAAAAATATAAATTTTTATTTTTTTTAGATATAAATAAAATAAAGGATTTTATAGAATTTTTAAATAATTAAATTTTTTTATTTTTTAAATTTTTATTAATATATTATTTTAAAACTAATAATTTATTTTTAAATAAAAAATAAATAAAATTAAATAAAAATTTTCTATTATTAATAAAATTAATAATATAATTATTTTTATAATAATTAAATAATATTTTAGATTAATTAAAAAAAATATCTTAAAAATCCTAAAGTTTTATTAAAATATTATTATTTTATAAATATTTTAATATTTTATTTTTTATAAATAATTATAACTTCTCTAGTAACTTAATTAAGATATATATATAAATATAATTTTAATATATTTTAATAAATTTTTAAGAATATAATTTTTATATATTATAAAACTTAAATTATTATATTTTATTTTATAAATTTAAATAAATTTTATAATTATTAATAATAATTATAGATAATAAAATAAAAATATTATTAAAATTATAATAAATTATTATATAAAATCTAGTAAACTATTATTAAATTTTTTTTAAATTAATTATTTTAATAAGATTATTCTATATTTTATAATTAGAAATTATTTTATTATTAATAATTTTTAAATTTAAAGATTATAATAAGATTTTAATAAAAAAAAATATTATATAAATTAAATATTAATAATATTATATTTAATACTAGTATTTATATTTATAAATATTTTATTAAAATTTAATATTTATATAGATATTAAGACTTTATTAATTATATTTATTTTAAAAAATTAAATTAGAATAAGAAGTAAGATTTTAATTTTAATTAATTTTTTAAACTAATTTTTTTAGTTTATAATTTCTAGATTTAGTTAAATTTTTTATTTTTTTTAGAATACTAGTTTATAAGATATTTAATATTATTATATAAATAATAATATAATTATTTTTAAATTTAATTAAAAATATAAAATCTTAGAAACTGTTATATTTCTTTATTAAAATAAAATTATTTTTATAATATATTTAGATTTTTTTATTTTTATTTCTATTTTTATTATTATAAATATAGATTCTAATAATAAATAATAATTAATATTATTTTATTATATTTTTTAGATAATTAATAAATATATTCTTTAATATATTAACTAAAATTAAGAAGTAGTTTAATAAAAAAAATAAAATTTTATTTTTTTTTATTATTTTAAAAAAGTATTATTCTAGTATATTAAGATAAATATAAAATTTATATAAATTTTAATTATTTTATTATTATATTTATTTAAATTAATTTATTATATTTAATTTAAATATAATAATATTTCTTATAAAAAAGAAAATTTATTTAATAAAAAAAATTATAAATAATTAATAAATTTTTTTTATTCTAAAAATAATTTTTTAAGATATTAATATTATTTTTATTAATAAATAATACTTATATAACTAATAATTTTAAGAATTTTTTAATAATTAATATTAAATTTAGAAGATATTTTTTAAAAATTATAATTTAAATTATAAAACTATTCTTATTATTTCTAAATATTAAAAAAATAATTTAAATTAAAAAATATTCTTAATTTTAATATCTAATTTTAAATTAGTTAAAAATAATAAAATCTTTTATTAATAATTTAATATAAGATTAATATTATATTACTAAATTTTTTATTTTAATTTAGTAATTTATTATTATAATTATTAATAATCTTAAAGTTTATTAATAATATCTTATATTATAATAAAATCCTTTATTAATAAATTATAAATAATTAGAATAAAAAATTTGATATTTATAAAAAAAGTTTCTAACTTTAAATTATTTTTAGAATATAATTATTAAAATAATATCCTATACTTTTTTTTTTAAATAATTAAAAAAAAAGAATTAGAATTATAAAAAAAAATTAGTTAAATATAGAATTAAAGTACTAGTATTATATAAATATAAATTAATTCTTATTTTTCTAAAATATAGTAAAGTCTAGATATTTAAGATATAGAATTTATTAAATTATTAATATTATAATTATTTTATAATTAAGATATAGATATTCTATTATAATAACTACTTAATTATATAGGTTAATTATAATAATATAATTAAGTAATTATTATAATAGAATATCTATATCTTAGTTATAAAATAATTATAATATTAATAATTTAATAAAATTTATATCTTAAATATCTAGATCTTACTATACTTTAGAAAGATAAGAATTAGTCTATATTTATATAATACTAATATTTTAATTCTATATCTAGCTAATCTTTTCTCTTTATAAAGATATTAATTTTATATATTAATATATTTAATACTTATTTAATTATAGTTAATTTATAAAAACTTAAAATTTTATATAATCTAATAGAATTTTAATAATATATTAAACTTTTTCTAGATATTAATACTAGTATTTAAATAAATAAATAATAATAAATAATTTTTAATTTAGAATTATTTAATTTAATTCTACTTTAATAAATTTTCTTAATTAGATAATAATTATATAAAATTAATTTATAGATTTTAATTATATAAAAATTTTAATTATTCTTTTTTTATAAATATTAATTTTAATTTAGATTAATAATTTAAAATTAAAAAATAAAGTAATAATATTCTCTAGAATATATTAATAAATTAATAAAATATTAGTTATTTATTAAATATAAAATAATATAAACTAGGTTTTTTATTATTTTAATTATCTTTTAATAAATTAATTAGAGATAAGATAAATAATAAAAAATTATAAATAAATTATTAATAAAAATTATAAAATCTAAGAAAAACTTATATTTTATAAAAACTTTTTAATAATAATTAAAAAATAATAATATCTACTTATTAAAAGTTTATAATAATATCTTAAAAAGATATTATCTAATTAAAAATTTTAATTTAAATCTAAAAAAAAAATACTTTAAAATTTTAATATATAAATTTATTTTTTTTTAATTAACTTAAAATTTACTTAATATATTTAATATATTTAAATTTTATTATTAAAAAGATAAGAATATTATCTAAATAAATAATATAAATAATATTAAGAATATTATATAATATAAAATAAATATAATTTTAAAAAAAATAAAAGTATTAATTAGATTAAATAATATAATTAAATATTTAAAATAATTATAATATATTTAAAAATATAATTTTTTATTTATCTTTTTTCTTAATATAAATTTAATAATAAATATTTTATATATTAATTTTATTAAAATATTTATATTTTATAAGATAATTAAAAATTTTTATAATAAATAAAAAAAAATAATAATTTTTAATTATAATTTTATTAAAATTATAATAATTTATATAAAAATATAAATTTCTATTTTTTTTAAATATAAATAAAATAAAAGATTTTATAAGATTTTTAAATAATTAAATTTTTTTATTCTTTAAGTTTTTAATAATATATTACTTTAAAACTAATAATTTTTTTTTAATAAAAAATAAATAAAATTAAATAAAAGTTTTTTATTATTAATAAGATTAATAATATAATTATTTTTATAATAATTAAATAATATTTTAGATTAATTAAAAAAAATATCTTAAAAATCCTAAAGTTTTATTAAAATATTATTATTTTATAAATATTTTAATATTTTATTTTTTATAAATAATTATAACTCCTCTAGTAATTTAATTAAGATATATATATAAATATAATTTTAATATATTTTAATAAATTTTTAAAAATATAATTTTTATATATTATAGAACTTAAATTACTATATCTTATTTTATAAACTTAAATAGATTTTATAATTATTAATAGTAGTTATAAATCATAAAATAAGAATATTATTAAGATTATAATAAATTATTATATAAAATTTAGTAAACTACTATTAAGTTTTTTTTTAAATTAATTATTTTAATAAAGATATTTTATATTTTATAACTAGAAATTATTCTATTATTAATAATCTTTAAATTTAGAGGTTATAATAAGATTTTAATAAAAAAAAATATTATATAAATTAGATATTAATAATATTATATTTAATACTAGTATTTATATTTATAAGTATTTTATTAATATTTAATATTTATATAAGTATTAAGACTTTATTAATTATATCTATTTTAAAAAATTAAATTAGGATAAGAGATAAGACTTTAATTTTAATTAATTTTCTAAACTAATTTTTTTAGTTTATAATCTCTAGATTTAATTAAGTTTTTTATTTTTTTTAAAATATTAGTTTATAAAATATTTAGTATTATTATATAAATAATAATATAATTATTTTTAAGTCTAATTAGAAATATAAGATTTTAGAGATTATTATATTTTTTTATTAAAATAGAATTATTTTTATAATATATTTAGATTTTCTTATTCTTACTTCTATTTATATTATTATAAATATAGATTTTAATAATAAATAATAACTAATATTATCTTATTATATTCTTTAAATAGTTAATAAATATATTTTTTAATATATTAACTAAAATTAGGGAGTAGTTTAATAAAGAAAATAAAACTTTATTTTTTTTTTATTATTTTAAAAAAATACTATTCTAATATATTAAGATAAGTATAAAACTTATACAGGTTTTAATTATTTTATTATTATATTTATTTAAGTTAATTTATTATATCTAGTTTAAATATAGTAGTATTTTTTATAAAAAAAAGAATTTATTTAGTAAAAAAAAATTATAAATAATTAATAAGTTTTTTTTATTTTAAAGATAATTTTTTAATATATTAGTATTATCTTTATTAATAGATAATATTTATATAATTAATAACTTTAAGAATTTTTTAATAATTAATATTAAATTTAAAAGATATTTTTTAAAAATTATAATTTAAATTATAAAACTATTCCTATTACTTCTAGATATTAAAAAATAGTTTAAATTTAGAAATATTCTTAATTTTAATATCTGATTTTAAATTATTTAAAGATAATAAAGTCTTCTACTAATAATTTAATATAAAATTAATATTATATTATAAAATCTCTTATCTTAATTTAGTAACTTATTACTGTAGTTATTAATAATCTTAAAATTTATTAATAATATCTTATATTATAGTAAAGTCCTTTATTAATAAATTATAAATAACTAGAGTAGAAGATTTAGTATTTATAAAAAAAGTTTTTAATTTTAAATTATTTCTAGAATATAATTATTAAAATAATATCCTATACTTTTCTTCTATAAATAACTAAAAAAAAAAGATTAGAATTATAAAAAAAAAAGTTAACTAGGTATAGAATTAAAGTACTAGTATTATATAAATATAAACTAATCTTTATCTTCTTAAAGTATAGCAAGACTTAGATATTTAAGATATAGATTCTATTAAATTATTAATATTATAACTATTTCATAACTAAGGTATGGGTATTCTGTCACGGTAACCACTTGGTTACACGGGTTAACCATAACAATTAGCTAAATATAGAATTAAAATACTGGTATTATATAAATATAAACTAATTCTTATCTTTCTAGTATATAGTAAAGTCTAAGTATTTAAGATATAGATTCTACTAAATTATTAATATCACAACTATTTTATAACTAAGGTATAGATATTCTGTTATAGTAACCACTCAGTTACACAGGTTAATCATGACAATTTACATAATAAATTTTTAAATATAAAATTAAGATTCTCTATTTTGAGAATAACCTAGTAAAAGTATATAAAAACTTTTATTATTAATTAATTTATTTCTTACAATAAAAAATATAAGTAGTACTAATAAAAAAATAAAAGAATTTATATAATTATAAAATAGAACAAATCCTAGAAAGCTATAGGCCAAGTTTGGTGCTGGTAACTCGAACTTGTCAACAGTTTGTGAAAATCATCCATCATGATGGTTTCTAGAACTACCACGCGGAGTGCCCCTTGTGCTGTCAAATTATCAAATATCAACATTCCTAGCTAAATACTTCCTTTTCTCCCCCCCTCCCCAGTTTCCCTGGGATTATCTTAGGGACTCCTTATTAAGACTATGATTGCCGCATTTTTTCTCACATGTCTAACTACGACAACGATGAGACACAACCCGAGCGAAATCCCTTTCTAAGTACATATGTAGTGTTAGTCATTAAAATACAGAATCATGTTATCGACAACAGCGTCAGCACCATGGCTGCCATCTCTTCCCGTAGCTCCAGCCCATTCGCCGTTGCCAAGGGCGGACACGGGATTCGGTTTTCCAATTTCTGTATTACCACCTTCGAAATGATGGTTAAGATTGGTGTCAAATTTGAACCCGTCGCAGTACCCCTCATTATCGCCAGCATAGAAAGTCATACTCTTGATGACCTCACCAGACTGGAAAGAAAATGGTTGATCCGGGTAGTAGTTAACACTCGGGTCTCCGCCGCCAATCCGGCCGCTCGAAGTACCGTCTTCGAAGCCAAACTCGATGGCGCCAAGCACGTCGTAGTTATTGTAGTTGGCCCTCCAGGTTTGAAGATTCACGACCCTTTTTCCTCTTGCATCGTAGGCTTTGCCTCCGGGGCCGCCGTAGGGTCCGTCTTGAACAAGGTCTTCGGTATCAGGCATGTTGATTTGAGATACCACTTTTTCGGGAAAGAAAGAGGGTTTGTTTCTTATAGAGTGAAATTTATGCTTGTAGGGGTGCACAGTAGAATTGAAATCAAGCAACAGACAGCGGATCGAGGTCTGCCTTTATATCCACGACCAAGGAGACCCTTCCCACAAGGCACTGGGCTATGCCTGTGCTGGAACGCGCGTGTGACGTAGTAGACTTGCCTGGTCCTCATTGTTTTAAGAGGTTTTATTCCAAGTGGAGCGAAATATAGCAAGATGTATCCGTAAACTATTCAAGAAGCGCGTCTGCCCAATACATCCTAATAGTGCAGAGGAAGCAATTGGCTAAAAGCATACACAATCTCCACATATGTGAGATCAAAAGGCAAATCCAAAGATAGAAGATGATATAATGACTGCATGACCATCCAAGAATAGACTCCAATGTCTGAGACTGTGCTGCAAACAGACAAAAGACCGAGATTTCATCAAGAACCATAAAGATATAAGGTTTATTTGATATCATACGATAATTCAAGCCTCCCGCCGAACCATGGGTACGTACTGTGTGGAAATACTACCCTAGCCATGTGAGATTATGCTATTGAAAGCAATGTTGCATGGAGCGGTGGGGCACAATTAAACCAAAGCGTGGATTTTGAAAACCGGGAGGGTCGGGAGATCGCTCGGCACCGGCTTACTGCAGACGCGGGGCCTTTTCCAAGGTTGGAGCTCAGAAGTGACGAAAGCAAAAATATCAGACTTTGCATCTTGAGTCGGCAAATCCATGGAGCATATTCCCCAGACGCCGTCGGACACGGTAAAGCATGGACTAGTAGAAAAGAAGGTACAACAGTGCAAATCGTCTCTTGGGGTGCATCTGGCAAGATCGACATCTTCCGATGGCGCAGTGGGCGCAGGGGTTGACTGTAATGTTTGCAGAAGGGCGAGTGTGTGAAGCACGGCATTAAGGGAAGAGACAAATTTTGTCATGTACCTTTAGACTTCCGCGCCTGATATTCTGTATATGCAATAGATTGGTTTGCCTGTAAGGTTAAAGGCACTGACGAGTTGTAGCAACACTCTGGTCGAAAGTGATTAAAAATCCGGGACTGACCGTCAGATATTGACGTCATGTTGTTAAGTTCTTGAAGACGGGTATGAAACGAATATCAGGTTCAGCAAAAGAATGAGGTCCAAAAAGACGGTGACCTCTTTTTCCTCGAATGAAGTCTAAAGGGACTCGAGGCAACCTCTCGCCTCGCATGTTTCGAAACACCGTGACAGGGAAGCTTTGAGGCTGCAATAACCCTAACACATATTTCGGCCAAAATGGCGATTGTTCATACACGAGTCGCGTAAATCAAGGATTAGATGGGTGCAGAAAAGACGCGACAGTTAAAACCTGAAAGGACAATCAAAGAGACCATTAATTACCCACGGGAATGTTTGGTGTGAGAAGCTGTCTGCGGATGAACCAAGTATACTTGTTTGGCTTTCCTTGGGTGGACCGCCATTGACTCGTCCAAAAATGCCATGCGGGAAAAACATAGAACTATTGGCCTTGGACCCACTGACCGAGGGTCTGATTAGTATCGATTGACGCAGTTCAAGCGTCAATGGCCGGACTGGGATGATTGTGACCGCACTTTGGCGGAATATCGTCGTGGCTAGGCCTGGAGCGGGCCATTAGAGGCTGAGGAATCAAGGACAAGAAAGTGCTACATCCTTGCCGCTGTTGCCGTGTTTTGCAACATTATGAAATCTTGTCTTTGTCGTATTTCATGGAGCCTCTCCGGCATGTGCAAACAATCCCTCTGCAGCATTGATCTGAACTAGTGATTATCCGAAGATAGACTATACACGCCTAGTCTCCGACCGGGCTTCAGCTGCAAATGGAGTTAGGATTAAATCAACTTACTCTAAAGTTCAATCCTATGGCCAACAGCTTAACCTCAACTCTACTCAATGCGAGCTGCTGCAATTCCGTTTCCGCCCATTGGAGGGTATCAAGAAGTTCAGGTTTATCCACAGACAGGATCTTGGGCGCATCAGGACGAGGGGCTGAACATAGCTTCTCTTTTGAGGAAAACGGGAGATACCTGGCGACGTATACAGTGCCATCCAGCAAGACATACTCGTAGTCGATATGCGGAGCTTGTCACTCCCTGCTATGGGGACCGTCGACGATACGCCAAGTAGCATGGGATTTGAGGCTTCGGGGCTCGTGACCCAAACAGGTGACAGGGTATCTAACCTTACAGTCGGAGACAGAGTGATGCTTGTTATTGGCGGAGGCAGCTTTGCCACGATCATTCAGACAAATGACGAAAGATGCATAAAAATACCAGATGAACTCTCCTTGGAGGAAGCTGCCACTATGCCCTGCGTATTCAGCACCGCTATTCATGTCCCAATTAACATGGCAAGGGTGGAGAATAGCAAGGAATGGCATCGGTCGGGTGTGGCTGCTGTTGAACCCCAGGCTAACCGAGGCGCAAATACCGTCTTGATCCATTCAGCGTCCGGTGGTCTTGGCCAGGCGGCAATACAGATTCCTCAACATGTCGGCGCAACGGTATGTCTGGTTCCTTTCCCGTCTTTCCCGCAGGGATATTAAGAGTCAGGTTTATGCAACGGCCGGCGACGGCACAAAAGCCGACTTTCTGGAAAATGTATACGGCATCCCCCGGGAGCGAATCTTCAGTTCGCGAAGTGCAGCTTTTCTTCCAGCCATTATGTAACAGACTGATGGCCGTGGGTCGATATCGTGCTTGACTCCCTATCGGGAGAGCTTCTCCACGCATCCTAGAGGTGTGTTGCCAAGTATGGTTCCATGCTCGAGGTCGGAAAGCGTGATATTCTGGGAAAGGCCCGGTTAAGCATGAACGAGTTTCTGCTAAATCGATCATTCATTGGGGTGGACATGGCACAGATAGTCAAGGAGAAGCCTAGTCTTACTTATCGGTAGGCGGCCACAGCTCATGAATGGGACTTTACTAACAGCTGTTGCGGCGACACTTAGACTCCTTGGCCATTGTCTGGCGCTCTATAAAGATTTCCATTCGTGGGGCTGAGCCCATCCATGCCTTTGATGCAGCGGCCGTCTAAAAGGCGTATCGCCGTATGCAGGGAGGGGCGTCTATCGGGAAGATCTTTATTCGTGCTCCAGACGACCATCACTTGAGTCTTAGTCGTGCTCATGCCCAGGTGAAGCTATCTCCTAATCGCTCGTATCTCCTTATTGGGGGTCTGGGCGGGTTTGGACGGCGGCTGCTGCGTGGCTCTTAGAGAACGCGCCCGCTATCTTGTCTTCTTTTCGCACTCGGCCGGCGAGTCTGCGGATGATCAAGGGTTCTTCAAGGAGCTCATCGCCCAGGGTACCAATGTCACGCGCATTAAAGGAGACGTTAGCAGACTGGAAGACATTGAGCGCATTAGAGGTTGCAGCCCGGCTCCTATCAGTGGTATTTTCCAGTTGGCGATGGTCCTGAAAGACTCTTTTACTTTTGAGATGGCGTATGCAGATCGAAACATTGCCGTTACTCCAGATATCGCTGGGACTTGGAACATCCATCGAGTATTCAAGGACTCTTATCTCAACTTTCTGGTCCTAATGTGTCTCATTGCCGGCATTCGGGGCTACCCCAGCCAAGCCAACTCCGCAGCAGCCAACTCGTTCCTGAACGGTTTTGCACGCTATCGCCACGCACACGGGCTTCCTTGTTCCGTCATCAATCTCGTGGTCATGGACGAGGTTGGCTTCGTGGCTCGAACTCCATTCGTGCTCCAAAGGTTCCGCGAGCAAAGCACGCATATTCTGACCATTCGAGACCTCATCAACACGATCCACCTTGCAGCAAGAAACCAGCACCCAGCTGGTAATTCCGGTTCCCGGGCGCACAACCCAACGCATTTGCATGTCGGGTTTATGTCAACACATGATGCCAGCCGGCCGGGAATCCGAGACGTCCGGCTGAGTCCGACTCGACGCACAAAGCTACACTCTAGAGAGGCCCATGGCGCCTCTGAAGGCCCGCTGCGGGAATTTTTCTAAAGCCTGGCGGCGAATAACGCTGTTTTGGACAGTGAAGCGGGCTTGCAAGTGCTCCGGACCTCCATAACACGCATGTTCTGTTCTCTGCTTTCCATTCAAGAGAAGGACTTTGATCCGGGCAGCTCGGTAGCGATTCTTGGCATGGACTCCTTGGTCAAGATAGAGGTTCGTCGCTGGTGGGGCTGTTATCTGGGCCTGGATATCAGCATATTTGACATTGCGAACGCCCCGTCCGTTAATTCTCTTATTAAGCTTTCCCGCGAGTCTCTCGCTGTACGATTCGGTGGGGCTAAATGTCGGAATTGAAAAACAGAATATGGCGATCTTTGTCCCTCCGCTCCTCATCAATTAATTGATCATAGGCGGCTAACCACAGGTCTTTCGGTTTAAAATAGTGTTTTGACTGACTGGCCTGAGCGGTAGTTACCGGGGAGGAGGCAATATTAGACTATTAACAGTTCTTTATTTTATAAACGCAGTTCAAAAATCGTTTTAAAATATGGAAAACTGGGTCCGTTCTTTAAATAAATATAATTTAGATATTTTGATTTCTGACCAATCTGATTTGGAAGTTATAGATTTAGAAAATCATATTCAAAAGTCGCTATAAAATCAGGCTATTCAGGAAAAATCGAATTAAATAATTTCGTCTAAAATGAACTTAGTTACAGACTACTTTATAATTAATCAATTAAACCTATATTTTTGTAGATAATAGTAAGATGGTAGTAATAGTAGTGAATAAAAATATTAAAGAAAACAATATAGTTTCAAATCTATTTTTCTTAAAGATAACAACTTATATAGCTATTATATACTTGAAAACTATTTATTAAGCTATTTTAAACCACATGACCGATTTTAGAAACCCAGCTGACCAGTAACCACCGAGTTATCAAGCGGGCCCTGCCATGTCTACAGACAGGGTATCTTGTATCTCGGAAGTAGGAACTATACTAGCGGATTAGAGGGCACGTGATAGCTGATTCCGTTAATGGCTGTAGATTTAAGTTAGTGGAGAATCACGTATCTATTACATCATACATCCCGGCACCTCTGTACGGAGTACTCCGCTATGATATATTTAACAAAACTGCCATACGCATGGAAGTTTACCGGTATCAGCACCAGCATCATGAGCAGCATCAAAAACCACCCGCAAAACGCCCCCGTCGCCCTGGTATCGCAATCCCGCCCGCGTTTCCCTTGGCGACGCATCCTCTTGAGCGCTGTCGGTTTGTACGCCTTCTATTGCTTCATTCATGGCGTCCCCCTCCTTGCTTCGCCACTGCCGTCCTACACCGGCCCGCATGGCGTCGGGGCTATCGATCTCGAGGTGCCCTTAAATGGCGGGCCTCTACGGGTCGCTGAGGCCGTTCACAAGACCACCGGACAACCGGTCTTTGAAGTTGAAACACTTCTGGCCACGGTTTATTACCCGACCGACCGTGACTTCCGTTCCCGCAAACCCCGATATCGCTGGATTCCGCGGCCCATCAGCCTCACGGCTCAAGGCTACGCCCGTCTTGCCGGTCTAGACAATTTCATCACTCGACCCATCTTCACCGTGGCTCTATGGGCTGTGGGCGGTGCCGTAACCATTCCCGCTGAGGTCGACGCTCCGCTTCTTCGCCACGGGAGCGGCCACGATTCGTTCCCCGTCACTATCTTCTCCCACGGCGATGTCAGCTCGCGCACCGACTATACCCAGTTCCTCGCCGAACTCGCCAGCCGCGGACACGTCATCGTCGCCATGGAACACCGTGATGGTAGTGGGCCCGGCTCTATCGTCAAGACCTCCGCTAACTCCCCGGGTCGCCACGTCCCTCCTCTCCGGCTGTCCGATGTTCAACGCCCAGATCCAGATATAGCCATGAACTTCGACCGGGACGCCTTCAAACGCGCTCAGCTTGCCTTTCGCGACGCCGAATTTCACGCAGCTGCCGACCTCCTCCACGCCATCAACAACGGCACCCCGATCCTGAACACCCGTGACCCTGTCACCACCCTCCCCTCTTGGACCGGCCGCCTCAACACCAGCCATCTCACTCTCGCAGGGCACTCTTTCGGCGCCACGGGCGCTCTCCAAGCCCTCACCACAACACTCTCCCCATCCCCCGTTGCAGGATGGATCCTCGACCCGGGCAAATCCAGCGGACCCCTCAACCCTAACGCCACTGTGCCCATTCTTGTAGTGCACTCCAACTCCTGGTCCCGCACCGTCAGCCCCTTCTACAACCGGCCGCACTTCGACACTGTCCGTGACCTTGTCCGCGCTGTCCCCGCCCCGTCCTGGTTCCTGACCAGCATCGGTACGGCACATCCCAGCGTCACCGACGCCCCGCTGATCGAGCCACTGCTCCTCAGCTGGACCACCGGCACCACATTGGACGTTCGGGAAGCGCTACGCGAGTATGTTCGAGTTGTTGATGACTTCTTCCATTATGTGCGAGATGGAAAAGAACGCGGCATCCTGAGCGAGAAAGCAACCCATCATCAGTACGATGAGTGGGTGAGTGAGGAGCGGGAAAGGGAGTTTCCGCGGGCTTTAGCGAGACTGTGGCAGATTCACGTTACGCCTAGCAATCAGACGAGGCCGATGGAGCATCCTGTGGAGCTTTGAATAGATTATCTCATGATATAAATAATGTGTATAGTACGTCCCGTTCGCCTTACCGAGCGAACAATGTTATTTACTATCTGAAGTATCTGAAGAAATAGTCCAGCTAACCGATCTCATAATACCTGGAGAGGTACGGATTACTTCATGGGGCTTGCTAGGAACACATACCATCTACTGTTAATTCACCTCGGTGGAGGTAGCAGTGGACATCGTCCGCGATAACCAAACTTCACCGTGGGTGATATTTAGTGGCAGTTGACTTCCAACTCGTGTAAAGTCACGGAAAATGCTCTCTAGCATAAATACTCCCTGGGAAGAATTTGGGGACGATTCTATAGCTTTTCTTTCTGAGGGTGGAAGGAATAGACCGAGGTTGGCGGGGCTGCCGGCTTAGTGAAAAGCACACTCAGATTGACCCCGGTAGCCCTCTCCGCAGTGCCAGAAACAACACCAAACCATTCGGAAGCCGAGCGCGGATCTTAATGCCGATTCTTGAAATGGCGTTGATGGATTGATGCTTGCCTTGGTTGATGAAGGCGCATGTTGGCGTGTGGAGATGATAAGCCGGAGCAGGTCACATGACCTCCAACACCGGATCTTACTCGTGCTTCTTATCGCATACATAATCGCATTCCCCTGTTACTTCCTCATGCGGTCATTGCAAAAGAGGCCCTATTAATCTGTGGTATATGTCTAGTATGCTCGGTACTTCAACACTGATGTTGAAACATCTTCATGATTATACCCGGGCAATTTGATGAGGAGTGTCTCGTGGTTTTTTAAGGTGCTGTACAGTATATGTATCAGTTCACTGTAGACGACAGGTTAGAATCCTGGTGCTATGCTTTACCCCGCCTTCCCTCGTCTTACTTGGAATTGTTCCCTTTTATGTGAAAAGTCTCCGTCAGATGATATGGCTCGGGCTGATGATTCACAAAAATCCGAAACAAGACAAATTGAGTATACATTAGCACAAACAGCGATAAAGATGACGAGTATGACGAGTCCAACATCCGCACTCCCACTATCCGGATGGAAAGAAGTAATCGAGTATTTTGTAATTCCAATCTAAAGGCTTATCAACAACTGCAAGATAAGTTCTTGCTCACATCGTTGTTCAATAGCAGCTTCTCCTCTACCAGTCTACTCACCACGGACGGGGTCCACACCGATAGTGACGACAGCAACTTCCCTGACAGAATCGCCTTGACATTCAGTTTACCGTGAGGGATAATGTACAACCTCCCGCCATAGGGCGCTAACAGGCACCAAGAAGGCATCATCTGACCAGATATAGCGTCTTAAATACGCATGTAGTTCCGGCCAAGAGAGGTCCGGACAAATGGCCAGCAGCAAATCTAAATACCTATCGCGGGCCAGTCCAACCGGAGCAAACGCACCGCCGATATAGAGTAGCCAGACGAGCAGATCAAAACAGTCTCTTATTGCGGTCGCGCCGTCTTTGCACATTTCCTGCACTTTGAAGAGGAGCTGGGATGAGATATGGGATGGAAGTACCAACTCACACCAGATCTTACAACAGAGTGTTATGGAACATAAGTAAGCCGCAAGACGACAACACTCCTGCACCGGGGAGAGACTCGAGAAGATCATTAGTCGGGACTGAATTGATGCGGTGTGGTTGTTGATATGAAGCATGCCTATCGCGTCGGCGTGCGGCGGTCGAGGAAGGTTGCGGATGCATTGCAGGGCGTGAAGGTCTTCAAGCACCGCACTAAACTCTGGATCGAGAATGTAGCGTTGGCTCTCGAATCCAAGTGGGAGGCGATAATTGTCTGGTACGAATGTGTCCCGCGCCCAAAAGAGGGTTGCAAATGTTGCGTGATTGACTATGCGTTTAGAGCCAGCGAGGAGAGAGCAGTTGAGATCTTGCCTGTTTACATTAGAGATACAGTACTGAAGATTGGCTTGGTAAAGCCGGCCAGTATACTCCCTTACCAAAATATGGCTCGCTTGATCCCAGCGGTGAGATGGATACTCTTTCTCTGGCAGACGCTCAGCAGCTGCTGCACTGCACCCATGTGCAGCTCGACCTGAGTTGTTTGTCCAAGACGGCCCTATTGAAACTCCCAGCATCAGCACAAGAGCCCCTAATATCTATTGCCTCACTTGACATACTGCCACACCTGCGATAAGCAATATGGCCCCGATAGTCGCTTCCGAAGCAGCCTCGTCCTCGGAATCCATCCGCTGGCGGATATATGCGACCGCCTGCGATTGGTATCGCAGACATTCCGGGTTCAGATTGCCGCTGGTGACGGCGAACGCGAAGGCCAACATCACAGCATTGATCAGAGCAGGATCATGAAAGCCCGTTCGAAAGACCGAGCGGAAGTTCTGGAAGGCCAATTCCTCAGCCACGCTGAAGACCGGCTCGGGAGCTTGCCTGGCCCTGTCTGGGTTCTATTAGAGGAATAATAATAGAGCCATGAAGTAGGAACTTTACGTACAATCATCTAACAATGCTTGCAGCCTCGATGAGTCCACTGCCAAGGTCTGGAACGGATCGAGTGCACCTGAGACAGGAGAGTGGAGTGGAGCTGAAAGGCCGGCATCATGAACGGTACATGGCTTGGCTGTCCCAGCTGAATTATCGATCTTGAGGTGAAGGTGGGGGTCTTCAACAGTCTTAACAATAAAGTTCGTCCTCGCAAGTTGCTGCTCTTTGCGTCGCTTTCCCAGGGCTGTCTTGACCGCGTGGGAGCGCGCCCGACGCCGCGTCGCCCGATCCTTTACCTGCCCATTGGCTTGAATTGAGATGAACTGAAAACCTCCTGGCATCTTCCTGTTTGAGTAGTATCTTGCTTCTGCATTGTCGTCGATGAATAGTGTGAAGTAATGGTATACAGTCTAAACCCCTCAGGCCACCTTGCTTGGTAATCAGGATAACGCGGGGACCAGAAGAAGACTAAACCGAATTAGGATGAATCTTATTTCCTTATTAGGAACAATCTCTATGCCCTAAACAAATCTGAACAAAGCTTTGATCACTGACTGGGCTCCAGCTTCATGAGATATGCTTAGGTAGCGCCTTCTACCCTAGAGAAAATCATCAGCATCGCTGGAATGGAAAGACCTTCTTACCTCATTTCACTTGTACATTTGTCAGCCATGGTGCGAGGCTAACAAAGAAGGATATTTAAACCGTCCTATCATAAACTATCATAAACCATCAGAGTCAACAACGGACAGCTTTTCTTCCTTACATTCTATACCCGACTTCCTTCATATCAAATCTCTCCAAAGATTGTCGGATAATATGCCAGAATCTCGCCTCTTCAATCCCCTCCAGATTGGTCCCCTGCAAATCCAGCACCGCATCGGCATGGCCCCCCTCACTCGCCGCCGCGCCACCGAGAATCGCACCCCGTCTCCCCTCATGAAAGAATACTACAACCAACGCGCCGCCGTCCCCGGCACCCTCCTCATCACTGAGGGCACGCTCATCTCCCGTGTCGCCGCCGGCGGGTTCCCCAGCGCTCCCGGACTCTGGCGGCCCGACCAGGTCGCCGCGTGGAAGGAGATCACCGACGCTGTCCACGCCCGCGGGAGTTCTATCTATGTGCAGCTCTTCGGGATGGGGCGCGCGGCTGATACTGTCACCGCCACGAGTGAGGGCATCGAGATCGTGGGCCCCAGCGCGATTCCGATCCCGTCCGACGAGAACCCGTCTGCGCCGATGCCGCGGGCTATGAGTCTCGCTGAGATTAAGCAGACGGTGCAAGACTTTGCGGTGGCGGCGGAGAATGCGCGGGCGGCAGGTTTTGATGGGGTTGAGATTCACGCTGCGAATGGGTATCTGCTTGATCAGTTCTTACAGGATACGAGTAACCAGCGGAACGATGAGTACGGGGGAAGCGTGGAGAACAGGTCCCGACTTGTGGTTGAGGTATTACAGGCAGTGATAGTGAGGATCGGGGCCGATAGGGTCGGGTTGCGGCTGAGTCCCTGGTCGCGATTTCAGGGCATGCGGATGGAGAATCCGGTGTCGCAGTTTGTTGACATCATTGAGCGAGCGCGTGAGCTAGGTCTGGCTTACCTCTCGCTCGTTGAGACACGGGTGTTTGGGGCGTGGATGTACGAAGGGGGCAGTGCCGAGGAGGAGGAGATGGAGACATTGGATTTTGCGTTTGAGCGCTGGAATGGACCCCTCCTGGTGGCCGGGGGATATCGATTAGAGACTGCTCAGGAGCTGGTCGATCAACGGTATCCCCAGAAGGATATTGTGGTGTTGTTCGGACGACATTTCATCTCGAATCCCGATCTGGTGTGGAGGTTCAAGCAGGGGGTCGAGCTGACGAAGTACCAGCGCGACACCTTCTATCAAATCAGTGAGCCGAGGGGCTATGTCGACTATCCATTCAGTGAAGGGTTTGTGGCCACTGGGAGCGTTTAGTGGTATGTGACTCTTGGATTGCGTTACTATATGACTGGGAAGGTCAAAGAAGGGAGGTCTGAGTGTTTCACCCAAGGAACGCTTTGCCCATGGTCTTGGACGGCGCCTATTATGCTGAGATAGATGCGGGAGTACTATTTTTGTCTCGTGCAGCTAGCCCGAATATATTTTTTTTATTTGACACTCCATCACTCCACTATTGTGAGTAAAGTGATCCTTGGGGAGTACCCTCAGCCCCCCCGGCTTTGCATCTTTCAAACTAGTGTACTAAATGGACTGAAGATCCTCCCTCCGCGAGGATATTCCTCAAATCTAGAGCGTAGAGCGTTCTGGGGGTTCTTCTCCAGACCTCCTTGTTTTCACCTGCTCAGTGCAGCCCCGCCCGGTGGATTCCACCAGCTCTCATGCCAGTTCCTCCAGGTCAGTTCATTCTCGACAGCCCGCACAAAGTCCAAGGGTTGCGATACTGTCCGCGTCGCTGCCGACCGCGTCCCCCCGGCTTCGGTGATGTGACTTTGGAGTTGGAATGGGACCCCAAACATGCCGCCAATCTCATCGGCTGTTTGCGGAGACAATACAGAGGTTAGGTTTAGAAGTGATTCGAAAGGGGGCATCTCCGCGGCTGATGGATCAAACTCATTCTGATTGTTGAGCGCGCCCAGCTCCTGAGAGCCCGGTTGCAGAGCTTCTGTGGAGCAAATCATCGTGAAGTCCGGATGTCGCCCGGAGTGGAATGCCCGCGAAACATCATTCAGCGCACTCACTGCATCCGCAATGGGGATCAGGTCCGGTCGGATCGCTGCTGCTGCACTCATAGTGTTCACCACTTTTTCTAACGTGCGGAGGTCGTTTTCGTACTCGCTCGGATCGGTGGAGGAGAGGATGTGATAATACAGAGTGAAAAAGGCAGAAAACGGGTAAAACGTGAGGCATCTGCTTCATGTTATCTTCAAATACCTTCAGAACAACCGGCGCAAGGGAGCGGAATACACTTACAGGGTATGAAGCTCAGACTGGTTCCCAGACGCTGAACATGAGATGTTCGACCATTCAAGTATAAGAATGATAATGAGTCTGGCAGATCGCACTGCTTGTGGGTGAACGATCTCCTCCGCACTGGATGCTTTCCGTCGCATGAAGATGATGAAGATATGCAGTGCGATGATTGTATCAACATAAAGCCAAGACTTGATGTGGTCTATGTTGGGGGACCTTGCGTGAGATAAGAGGGCCCAGTCGTCGACCAGCTCTTCTAGTTCGTTGCAGCAAGTGTCGGCTGTGCTGGTTGGAATGGGATGATCGAAAAAGTCCGCCATAATAAACAGGGCTCGCGACCAGACCAGGAAGATGATGCAGTCGTTTGGCTTGGGCTGTTTGGTCTGTGGCGAGATCTCGGCCGGAAGTCGCACCTGCGCCATCGGAACGCGGAGCACTGGCGGCTTTTCATACCAGATTCGAAACAGAAAATCGACCTCGACCAAGTACCAGTGCGTGCGACGCTTTTTCTCTTTTTCGGCCTCCTCCTCCGCGGGGGCTGTTGGAAGATCTACCTCGTGGACTCCCAGTAAGTTTCCAAAGCGACAGGCCTCGCGGTGGAACTGCCATGCCAGATGGTAGTCAAAATTATTAATTGCCATCCATGCCTGACGTCATTGTCAGTTCCTGTACTTGACGAGATTGAAAAACTAATTCACGTACTGTGAGCGAGGCAGCAAGAAGGTCGAGATACGATCCTTGCGCCGATGCCAGCCATTTCGGAACATTGTGGAGGCATTGATAATAGGTTTGTACCGCTGATCTCTGTTCCTCGGCGGTGCCGGCTGTTTGCCCGAAGTAGAGGGCATTGAGATATACCACCAGCATAACGGGCTCGACCTTGACATATGGTGAGTCGATGATAAGGGGCATCGTTCGCAGAAACTCGGCGTCAACTACGGTCGCGAAAGAGTCGAAGATGGTCAAATGAGGCAATACACAGTCTAGAAATGCTATTTGAGAAGTTAGCCTTACATAGCGAAGATTAATATTCTTCCCCCTTACTCTCAACACATTGCGTAGCCTTGGTGAGTGGTAAGTGGCTTCGCGGCGCGTCGGTCGAATTGTTGTCCGGTCTGCGAGTTGGTGCTGCAAGATTGACCAGCGCAGTGTCGAGGCGGGTAATTGCATGGTCTGCAGTTGACTGCGACAAGGGTAACGGAGTGTTGGTGGTGAGGCTTCCGATGTTGTCCTTCGCTCCGCTAACCATGCGATAAATCCAGGCTGCCACCGTCAGCAAGTGGACAGGAACGTGGTGGACCCGACCGATCCATACTGTCACTGCGATGCTCTGATTCAGACGTGATGGGCTCAGTTTCTGGTCGGGCTCTGGGCTGTGTCGGGGTCGGTGATGGCAACGAAGTGCTGAGATGTGGCGGGTCTGCTTTATTCAAGCGCTCTTCCAGGACCTCTAGACGATGGCCCAGGCGATGCAGATCAGCACTGGGTCTAGCCTGGACGATTAATGAGGGCTCTCAAGGCGAAAAAGGGGGATCCGAGAAACAGCGTACCGAGTGGTGCGGACTTTTCGTCGCTCGGGATACGAGCACATTTTGCCGCTGGTCAGGCATCGTTTACACTGAGGTTCTCCTCGGTCACACTTCAGCTGCGAAGTATAAGCCATCTAACCATCAACAGTCGAAGTGATAGCCGGACCTTCCTATCTTTACATCTCGAGCACTAGATGATTTTCATGAGTAGGAATCTCGCGATGCTAAAAGTCACTTACTGATAACTTCATTCGACCCGATGATGAATCGTAGCGGTGCATGGTGGACGGATCTGGTTGTCATAGTAAATTAGGTAGTCGGGGATTATCTCGGACATCGGACACTTATAAGTCCATGTGGTTCGGCCAAGCGCTGGACTTTTATAAATCCGAGAGACCGAGTATGAGTAATGATGATTGATGCTTGGATGCTGGAAAGATGATGACTCCACGACCCAGTCACTCGTGGCCTTGGCATCTCTTGGGCAACACAACAATTAGACTTGCTTCTCTCCCACGGGGCGCGCGGAGTCCGAGTTCTTGGGAATGGCTGTGCTCGGACTTATGTAGGCATCAAAGACTGAAACTGAGCCGTGTGCGACCATGGGCCCGCTTGAACTTGTTCATATAAATCCTGCTTCACCTGGTATGGGATTAATTTTTCCCAGTATACATCCCCGGAAACACAGGCAATGACTTCCAAACTCCCCAGTGATCGAGTGCCAGCCGACGATGGCATCAACCCCCAAATACGCGATTCAGAAGACTCGGGAGAGAAAGCAACCCTAATTGAACAACAGGCCGCGACCGACCGCGAGCTCACCAACCTAGCCCGAACTTGGAGTGAACAATCCAAGGGAACGCACCAGCCTCTGCCTTGGGCTCGAACTCAGGATGAGACAATCGACCCCCAAAGTCCTCGATTTAACGCCAGAGCTTGGGCCAGATCCTTTTATAACCTGCGCTACAAGTCCGACAACGGCGCCCCTTCCCGCGTGGCCGGAGTCGCCATCAAGAACCTCAGTGTCGTGGGTTACGGCAGTCCGGTCGACTACCAGATGAGCGTCGGAAACGCAGTCTTGAAAGTGCCTTCCCTTCTTCGACAATTCTTGGGAGGCAAGAAACAGAAAATCGAGATTCTTCGAGATATCGATGGTTTGCTCCTGCCGGGCGAACAACTCTGTGTCTTGGGACCTCCGGGATCAGGCTGTTCGACTCTGCTCAAAACGATTGCTCAGGAGACCTACGGTTTTCAGGTCGATCCAGCCACTTACATCAACTACCACGGTATCACTCCGAAACAAATGTCCAAGAACTTTCGCGGTGAGGCCGTCTATACTGCCGAGGTAGATGTGCATTACCCCCAACTCGTCGTTGGAGACACCCTCTATTTTGCAGCCCGGGCCCGCGTCCCTCGTGAAATCCCTGGCGGAATGAACAGCCATGACTACGCTATGCACCTCCGAGACGTGATCATGGCGATGTTTGGCATCAGCCATACCGTTAATACCAAGGTGGGCAACGACTTCGTGCGTGGTGTCAGCGGTGGAGAAAGAAAGCGCGTCACCATCGCAGAGGCAGCCTTGAGCTATGCGCCATTACAGTGTTGGGATAACAGTACGAGAGGTCTGGACAGTGCAAATGCTGTGGTATGGACGCCTCTACCTCGTTCATCGTCTCATCTTGTTCAACTCGCTGATCAATTTTGTCCCTCCGTAGGAGTTCTGTCGGACATTGCGCACCCAAGGCGATGTCTTCGGGGTGACCTCTTGTGTTGCCATTTACCAAGCCCCCCAGGCTGCTTATGATGTAAGTCAGAGACTCACACCTTGACCAGGATGATTGCATGTTCACGTTTCCGTAGCTCTTTGACAAGGTTACCGTCCTTTATGACGGGAGACAGATTTATTTCGGTCCCGCCCAGGAAGCACGGGAGTATTTCCTGCGAATGGGGTTTGTCTGCCCCGATGCACAGACGACTCCCGACTTTTTGACCTCAATGTCTAGCCCTACCGAACGAATAATTCAAGCGGGCTGGGAGAGTTTGGTGCCCCGGACATCGGAGGACTTCGCCAAGCGATGGCAAGAAAGCCCTGAGCGCCAACGCCTGTTGCGTCAGATTGACCAATACGCCAACGAGCATCCCTTTAATGCGTCGGACCTGGACTATTTCGCGTCGGCTCGAGAAGCAGAGAAGTCTAAGAAACAACGACAACAATCCCCGTACACTCTCTCTTACGGGGGCCAGATCCGCATCTGTTTATGGAGGGACTTTCAACGAATCAAGAACGACCCGAGCGTGATTCTCGCCATGCTGATTGGGAACTTTTTTGAAGCTCTGATCATTTCGAGTATCTTCTACAACCTTGCCAATGATACATCGTCTTTCTTCTCCCGTGGAGCTCTTCTTTTTATGCTGGTCCTTCTGAGCGCCTTTTCCAGCATGTTAGAGATCATCGTCTTGTACGAGAAGAGGCCCATTGTCGAGAAACACAACCGATACGCTCTTTACCATCCCAGTGCTGAGGCAATATCATCGATGATAATGGACATGCCTTACAAGATCCTGAACTCCTTGCTGACTAACCTGGTTCTGTATTTTATGGGAAACTTGCGACGTGAACCAGGGGCCTTTTTCTTTCTCTATCTGATCGCTTTCTCGATGATGATGGCCATGTCTATGTTCTTTCGTTTCTTCGCTTCTATAACTAAGTCGCTCGAACAAGCTCTTGCCCCCTCGTCAATCATCCTGCTTGCTCTCGTTCTTTACACAGGATTTGCGATCCCAGTGAGCTACATGCGAGGCTGGGCGTCTTGGATCCGCTGGCTGAATCCGGTCTCATACGGCTTCGAGGCCGTCATGGTAAATGAGTTCAATGGTCGACAATTTCCATGTGCCTCGTTCATTCCGTCCGGGCCTAGTTATGAAAATATATCGAGCCGGGAGAGGGTGTGTGCCACTGTCGGGGCCACTCCAGGCTCGGATATCGTGCAAGGAACAGCATTTGTATGCTCATCGTACGGATATGAGAACAGCCATCGCTGGCGCAACTTCGGTATTATTGTTGGACTGACCGTATTCTTGGCTATTTGTCACCTGGTCACTTCCGAGCTGGTATCCGGTCAACGCTCCAAGGGAGAGGTTCTGGTTTTTCGCCGCAACAAGGTACACAAGGCTCTGGCAAGGCGCAATGCGAACGACGAGGAACAGGCCGCTGGGCGTGTGGTGCAGAGTGAAAAGGCCTCGAGCCAAGGGTCGGAAACCATTGCGGGAGTTGAGAAACAATCGTCTATCTTTCATTGGGAAGACGTAACTTATGATATCAAGATCAAGGGCGAACCGCGTCGTATTTTGGATCACGTCGATGGTTGGATTCGGCCAGGCACACTGACCGCACTTATGGTAACAAATTCTTCCGATCCAAGTTCTAGTCAGATTGACTCATGTGCTACAGGGCGTGTCCGGTGCTGGAAAAACAACTCTTTTGGACGTATTGGCGAGTCGCACCACGGTCGGAGTCGTCAGCGGCAACATGCTGGTTGATGGACGCTTCAGGGACGAGTCCTTTCAGCGCAATACCGGTTATGTGCAACAGCAGGACCTTCATTTGCATACTTCCACTGTGAGAGAGGCGCTTGAGTTCAGTGCCTTGCTTCGTCAATCGCCACAGTACAGCCGTGCCGAGAAGCTGGCCTACGTTGAAACCGTCATTGATCTGTTGAATATGCGGGAGTATGCTGATGCCATTGTTGGAGTGCCGGGCGAGGGCCTCAATGTGGAACAGCGAAAGCGACTGACTATTGGTGTCGAATTGGCCGCGCGTCCGAAGCTCCTACTTTTCTTAGACGAGCCAACCTCTGGCCTTGACAGTCAAACAAGCTGGTCTATCTGCAACCTGATGGAAACCCTGACCAAGAACGGCCAGGCGATTCTCTGCACCATCCACCAACCTTCTGCGATGTTATTTCAACGCTTTGACCGATTGCTACTTCTGGCTAAGGGTGGCAAGACTGTCTACTTTGGCGAGGTTGGCGAAGGATCCCGCGTTCTGATGGATTACTTCGTGCGCAATGGTGGAACCCCCTGTCCTCCGGGCGCCAACCCAGCAGAGCACATGTTGGAAATTATTGGCGCTTCACCGGGGGCTTGGACAGACATCGACTGGCCGAATGTATGGTGGAACAGCCCCGAATACCAAGAAGTGCAAATGGAACTCGCCAAACTAAGAGAATTGAGGAATAAGCCATCGTCTCTCTCCGACCCTAATGACAAGTCAAGCTATGCCGAGTTTGCCGCGCCATTTCATGAGCAGTTGGTCCAGGTCTGCCGTCGTGTGTTTCAGCAATACTGGCGCTCCCCCTCGTACATTTATTCTAAAGTGGTGTTGTCCGTAGGCTGTGTAAGCCCCCCCCCTCCGGGCCACGGTCGTTGGTTACTGATCGGCATATAACAGGCCCTCTTCATCGGATTCTCCTTCTTCAATGCAGATAACACTAGGCAGGGACTCCAAAACCAGATGTTTGGGGTCTTTGTTTTCCTCTTCGTTGTGGTCCAGCTTGTCATGCAGATTATCCCATCCTTTGTCACGCAACGAAAGCTGTACGAATCCCGCGAACGGCAGTCAAAGACCTACGCCTGGCAAGCCTTCATTCTCTCTAATATCGCAGTGGAATTCTTCTGGAATACGGTACGTTTTGTCTCAGCCCTAATTTAACTGTCTCTACTGAACCTTTTCTAGATTATGGCAATCTTCTGTTTTGTGGTATGGTACTATCCTGTCGGACTGTACCGAAACGCTGAATATTCCGACAGCCTCCATTCCCGGAGTACGCTGACCTTCCTTATTATCTGGGCTGTCTTCCTGTTCTCAAGCTCTTTCGCGCATATGTTGATCTCCGGTATGGATAGTGATCAGCTTGCGTCAGCAGTGTCCAACATTCTCTTCATCATGATGTATGCGTTCTGTGGTATTCTCGCCGGTCCTCAGGCCCTTCCTGGGTTCTGGATTTTTATGTACCGGGTCAACCCCTTCACCTACCTGGTTTCGTCCTTATTGTCCACGACCCTGGGCGCAGCTCCTATGCATTGCGCAGACAACGAAGTCTTATCCTTCTTTCCTCCTTCTGGAAGGAGCTGTGGGGAGTACATGCAAGAATATCACTCTGTCAATGGGGGCTATGTCCTAAATCCGGATGCACAGGGAAATGTGGAGTGCCGGTTTTGCACCTTGGAGTACACCAACCAATATCTCGCAGGTCTCAACATCAACTTCAGTAACCGGTGGCGGGACTTTGGCCTGCTCTGGGTTTACATTGTGGTTAACACTCTCGGCGCCATTGCCTTCTACTGGATTTTCCGTGTGCCCAGGGCTAGAAATGCCAAAGAAAGATGACCATCTGAATCCATTTGCACGTTTGTCGTGACTTGTTTTGAGGACCTGTGACCTGTCTTTCTGATGCATTGTCGGCTACTTCGCTCGAAGTGTGGCACTAAGGAACTCTTCGGACATACTTTGTTGCACAAAAAGCGCCTTTTTTTTGTTTTTCTTTCCCTTGCCATATCCCTTGATTTCCCGCACAGTTTCCCTGGTTACTTATTGACGCCCTTATAAATACCTTCTGTACAGTCCTCACAGAAGCTCCTTAGCCTCGGCCACTTACCTTTCTGTTATTTCCCTACTTACTCCTCATGACTTTCCGTCATTTGATATCTGATTGAAGCGCAAGCCGATTCGTCGGGCTGTGCTGCTGTGGATACTGAATTGGTTGATATATCTCCTCGCACATATTAATGTAACATAAAGTCTTATTCGTCCCTCGGGGCCTGCAATTTACATCAGTCTGTTAATCCCGTGTCATAAAATCAGTCCAGCGTCCCTAAACAGCGCAAAGGCCTCCCACCAGCCTTGAACCGGATCTTGAGGCGGTTCAAACCCTGTCGCCTTCAGTTTCTCGCAATCCAGCTGGCGATCAAATGTCAACCAGTACCCGACGCTATCGAGCTGCCGCGCCCCAGCCCCCACCCCACAGTTGAACCCTCGCTCACACCCGCACCGGCGGAACACGTCTCGGTATTTCCCCACGTACTCTCCGGGCGTGAGCACCGTCCCCTGTCCAGCTGGCATCTCCCCAGCGCCGACTGTCTCCTCCCCCGGCTCATCCCCTACATTGCCCCCCTCAACCTCAACAGGTTTCCCCCCAACCAACCCAAACCATCCCGCGATCGCCCCCCACAACTCCCCATACGTAACCTCCTCACAATCTGCCACATTAAACAGCCTCCCTCCACCACACTGACCCGGTCTCAAACTCGCAAACACCATAAACCGCACCAGCGTCGCACTGGATACGGGACTGAATTTCGCATCTGCTGCAGCCTGCACCCCGGGGAAGGGGACCTCCACCGCTCCGCTCTCAGCGCTCGCCTCACGGTCCCCGGAGGCTGTACGCGGCCCAACGTCATGGTTATACGCATATAACGAGAGATACTGCGCCCAGTGCAGCGCGAGGCTGAACTGCGAGCCGTTGGGGGTGAAGCCTATCTGTTTATTCTCAGCTCTAGATCTCTCATGTGGGAGGTGCTTGGGGAAAGACGTACGATAGCATCAGGACAGACCTCGCACCAGGTCCAGCTCTTGTTTGCGCTTGCGGTGGTGAGGATTTGGCGGTAGACGGGGTAGACGACTGTCTTTGCGACGTCTTCGGGGAGGGCGTGGACAAGGTCTTCGCTCAAAGGGGGTTGGAAGGTGCCGCCTGGGGTGTAGATGCCGTAGCCCTGTGTATTGCCATTAGCTTTTTGGTGAGTTAGGGGTGGGCGTCGGGGGGGGTCTCCCCCGGAACGTCTCCACGAGAAGTGCTATAGAATTGAGGTGCCAGGAAGCTGAAGGAAAGGGGGGTCTGAGGGTTCTCCCCGGGGAACGCCTATTCTGGTTGTATTTCGGGAAAATTGTGGATTTGATAGGAGGGGGGTGTGCGCGGGTAGGGAAGGTGTCTTACGCGAGTCCCGCCAGCGAAGGCTACGAACTCGAGGTCCGGGCTGAGGGTGTTGTGTGCGGCTATCACGGTCGAGAACATCTGGCTATTGATGGCGACTTCGTCGAGAGCGTTGGAATTGGCGGTGAATGCTGGTGATGTGAGTATACCTCTGAGGAATTTTAGCTAGGTGAGGGGTGAAAGTGCACCTAAGTAGTAGACGTGCGTTACAGTTTCGATGTCTGGGATCTGATGCTCTAGCTCGTGGGCACTGCGCAGATCGACGCCGGAGATGAGCTGCAGCTCTGGCTGGCCTGGTTGCCCGGTGGGCCAGTGGGTTTCTGCGAGGTTCAATGGGCGGTTTGTCACTGCTGTGACTTTTTTGAATGTGCCGCGCTCGGGATAGGAGCTTAGCAGCTGGTTGACTACGGCCCAACCGATGAGGCCGGATGCGCCGTAGATGATTGCGTGGCGGTCGGTCTTTGGCATGACTTCAGTGATTTCTATCGAAGTTGATGTTGTGTTCTAATGATCAATATTGCAGGGGGATTTTGGGTTTTTGTATGGCATTGATCATTTAGGGTTCAGAACCGGCTATCGGGCACCGCATTCAGTTTAGTGTGCGATTATTGCCCCTATTAGTAGTGTTCAGGTACCCACTCACCTTGCAGGCCCATTTAAGTCAAAGTAAAAACTTAATAATTATCTTAATAGGACCAGCCTGGTCAGGCAAAGTCCATGATTGTTATGTCACTACGTTGCATTTATAAACCACCACTGCTAGTTGAAGTATGTGCTTGGTCCCTTGCTGAACTGAACCAAGTCTCCATGGCAAAGCTAGCCGCCATTAACCGCCAGTGCGGTACAGAAACTCCGGATCTACATATCACGAGTAACATCATTGATCCCCACTTGCTGCTTGCGTACGCAAGTTCTTTAGTCTCTTTGACTACCTATATATCCTGATCGACTGAGTCGATGGCTCAGGACACAGCAAGAACAGCAACCGCCCACGCTGGTAAGTTCACCGCGAAGCTCCCCTTCCCTGAAACATGCGACGTGACAGGAGTAATCGACACATTGTGAGGATAGTTACTCACATGCTCGCCCCCAGACAGTAGCTGCAGCGTGCCCTGACTGGCGCCTGCAATGCTGACTGTCACGTTCTGTGCGGCTGCGCCATAATTTGCCAATTTCACATAGTAGACCTTTTTATCAGAAACAGAAGCCACCCAATAGACAGGCCCAAATTGCGCAGAGGTCGTAACAGCGAGAATGGTCGTTCCCCGGTTCGTAGAGAACAATTGCTGCACGTAGAACGAAGTTGAGCCGGTGATAGAGTCAGGACTGGAATCAAGACCGAAGAGATCGGGCTGTAGGGCGCAAATTAATCATGAGCACTGTTGCCACTGGGAGATTGAAAGTACATACCGACCACTCAGCCATGTCAAAATGTTCGAGAAGGGGTGCAAAGCTGGCCATTTTGATAATGTCGCTGTTGCGCTCCAGGCCAATCATATACACAGCTTCGGCACAACTACCTTGCATGTAACTCCAGTAGGTGGTACTTCCATCATTACCCTTCGTGCTGGCATATTCCCCAACTAGAATTGGATGATCTCGGGACCAATTGTCAAATTCATCGAACAGCGCGACAAAAGCGTCCGGGGAGAGGTAGTGGTGGATGTCAGTGATGACTCCAGCTGGCAATGTCGACGGCAGACAAGAGCTGGATGTCGTTGAGGCGATGATGGTCAACTCTGGGTACTGGGCATGAATCGCATCGTATATTGCTGTGAACCGACTGGCATACGTGCTACATCCGCCGCTGATATTGTCCTCATTACCGACCTCGATGTATTTGACTGGCCAGGGTTCAGCGCGGCCGTTCTTGGCCCGAAGTGCCCCGTATATCGTAGCTGTCGAACCAAGGACGTACTAGATCTGAATATCAGTTTGGGGCCCGGCTTAGCTGGCGATGCTTGCTACACACCTCAAGTTCGTTCAGAATATCCTCAATATACGGCCCCAGAGCTGACCCGGACACAATCCCCCCTCCAAGAGAGAGACCAGCCCAGACGGCAAGAACAGGCTCCATCTCCATATCCTCGCACCAATAAAGATATTCGTCGAGGCCTGGACAGTCAGACTTGGCCCTCAGCTGTTTTGCAAGTGTATAAAAAAGACTTACCGAGTGCGTCAGTGTTTGCATAGGTCCAATCACCTGTGAAAAATTAGAACTCGAACCCATTACTCATGTAACGTATGGAATGATTCATACCCTGGCGACCAGGCCGATCGACGACAGCCCCGATTGTTTCATTCCACTTCCACCGATTGCTCGGGCTGGCGCCTTCACTTGAGGGACTTAGTACCACTGAACAATTTTCTGTCTCGGGTCACCGGGGCTTACAGGTTATTACCGCCTGGGAAGCGCAGAAAGGACGGTTTGATCTCCGCCAGAAAGCTAGCGACATCATTTCGTAGACCGTTTGGTCTGGCAATGGTAACATGTTCCAGTCAGATATCAAGATGAAGCGGATTTGTTCTAGTCGCTTCAATCAACTTACCGCGACTTGTATGTGGGTGGGAACAGCTGCACCAAACCAAAGTTGAGAGACTTTCCGACAACTTTGGACGCATCGAACCGCAGTTGCCACTCATTGTTTGCATCGGTAGACTGGGTGGATTTGAAGCTAGTTTCGTGGGAGGTGAACTTGTCGGCACTACTCTTCACGGTGATGTTGTGGTCTGCATAGACAATCCCGCTCGAAGTACCCACCAGTCGAAGGTTGACTGTCCCTGAGTAGGCTCCTTTTATGTAGAACGAGTTTTTGTATGTGGTTGCCAGTACTGGGACACCATTGTATCCTGTATTGGCAAATCCCACAAAGCCGGTGGCTCCTGAGGGCACAGTAACTTTGAGAGAGGATGTGATAGCACTGCTCACAGGATTGGAATTATCCTGGGCTATAGAGACATTTCCCACTGCAGCATACGCTGTCAGGCCGGGGCTGGTGCCTTGGAAGCCACTATTACGGAGCACCTGCCCATGTATTCCACCATCCCCTTAGCGCCGGTCAGTCTTCAAAGAGCCCACTTGATTTAATGCCATGATGGACGCAACGCACCGGAATTATTGATATCCTAACAAGGATCTCAAGGTCAGTACTGCCCCATCTTGTGGAGAAAGGGAAACAAACCTCAAACATAATTCCGTAGAGTAAAGAACTGGAGGAGTTGCCACCAGTCTTGGACACGGTCAGATCAATAGCCGAAGCTTGGCCCACGAGCCATGCTACGGCTAAGGTTGATAGGACAGGAATATGCATTGTGGTGGACAAGCGACTGCGCATTCGCAAACACGACACCTTCTCGGAATTAGTAGATTCTGCGGGAAAATTATCTTCTTTATGTGTTTCTCCGATGCCGTCTTGGCTGTAGCCTTGAACATAGCAGTGGGAACGCATGCATGTACATGCCTAAGGCCCCGCAAGACTTGACGTCGCCTCCGGGAAATTACCAAGGGCAGCTTTGGGGAAAGGCGAGAATATGCAAGGCATAACGACTATCTGCAAGTACATAAGCTGGGAGAACAGTGATTTATGGAGAAATTAGATTATCTGCCGGATTAGCGAGAAAATGGTGACAGGACCTGCATAAAAGGTGGGACCCCCTCCGCAAAGCAGCCGGATAAATGCGCGCGATCATGCAAAGCAAGGACAATCCATGAGTAAACATGCTCCCGTCAATTTCATGTCGATGTATTCGTGATTTGATCGTAGCCCATATGATCCAGGTGCAATCAATCCGTGCCTTTTCTCGGTTTGTCACTAACCATGATTCTTCCACTGTTGCTCGCACCAACTTCAGGGGACGTATAGTCTGTCTTCCTGCTCTGCAAGGCTTCTGCGGCAGTCCTCATCACCAAGGAATCATTGAGATTGAGATACAAAAGTTTCAGTTGCCCCCGTATCGTAGAGAGTCTTGCGCAGCTCGAATCGAATCCCTGCTTTAACACCCGTCAACATGAAACTGCAACCATTCTGCGAGTTTGTAGGGAAATCCGCCTCCGTAAAAGATGAGAACGAGAAAAGTCGATTCAAGTGAGTGCGGCGCGCAGCTTGGAAAGTGGCGGCAAAGAGTGTTCTATTGACGTTAGCAGGAGCTTCCATTTCTTGACATGAGCTAGATATTCTGAGGTAGATATATCATTCGCTCTCTCAGTGCTGGGTTCGACAAAGCTCTCTCTAGGGGGCGAAAAGTGGATCTCTCAGAGAATGCAATACACTCCTCATTGTTTAGATATTAGTTATATGATCGAGGAATAGCTAGGGGCATCTAGTAACAGCAAGCATTTGACAGGGTTTAAGACCCTGCATTGCTGAGGGTGACATGCAGGGGTTTGATGAACCTATGGAGAAGACAAGTACTTGAGAAACTTATCAAGCAGAGATAAGCGGTCAAGCTGGGCTTATTGGCCTGACAGTATTGAAACTTCCTATCTAACCCGTCGCTTGACCGAAAATTGATACTTATGGCTATTTCAGCAAATGACTGAGTCATACAGAAAACAAGCCGGAAGGGAAGTTCGGGTAGAATCGGGCGAGAACTAAGGATGCGCTGACTCGAACTATAAGACAGACTGGTAAGCAGTCTCAAGCTCTATTGAACTTTATCTAGGTCATCTTGCTAATAAACATACTTCCAATGTCAGCTTGTCGAATCTTTCGCTCTCCATTCTTTCACTCCCTCCGTCACTCCGCCTCGACGGTCGCAGTGCGCCCTGAGTTTCTCACGTCTTCCTCCTCCTTGTATGTCAATCCACGCCAGCACGTCCTAGGCACCGACTGCATTACGCAGACCATTCCCGGCTCGGCCATAGCAGGCATCAGTGATGAAAAAGTACTAGCACTTTTCACCGGTGGCTTTTTTGGTGGCTTCGTGTTTGCATTCGAGTGGCTACTTCTGACGGCCGGAGGGGGTAGGATTTTACCAGTGGAATTTACAGGTCGGTCTCATCACTACTCCATCCTCTCAATCGCTGTTAATGGCGACAGCGGGGCTTACCGACCTATCCGACAGGTTTTCCAAGAGATACCTACACAACCCATGCCATATGGAGGCATCCAGATCTCTCCGACTATCATCTCCACCCCGTCGGCACCTGCTTGGTTGGCTCTTTCATGATTCTTGATCAGCATATTGCATCCGAATCTGAGATGGACAACACTGGCCAAAGTGCCAGCTGGGTAGACTACGGCTTCGGTTCGGATAAATCCTCATTCGCAGGTTGCCACCGAATCCAAATTACTCGGATCGCAGAAAAAAGGAGACGAGATAGCTTCAAGCCCGACACAGCCATGGAAGACCAGGTTCAAATTGAGCTCCAGTCTTTTCAATGTAATCCCCAGAAAGATGTGATCTTCGGGCCGGAGATATTCAGACAATTCCATTACCTGTATGCGAAAATGCTGTTCGCCAACGGAATGCAATCTATCCTATCACGGCAGGCCTAATCTCTACCCTTAAGGCTGGCCAGATGAAAGAGTCAGACTAATTTGTGGGGTGTGTGAATTTGGTCTTTTTGTACAATACTGTCAGATACCATGAACTAATGTATTTTCCTTTACCTCTCTATGATTACATTGATTATGATCCCGCATCGAATCCAAACATTCAAGTAAGCCACTCAGCAATAGGCCCCAAACCATTTAGCGACAGAACGATGGCGGCCGCTCTAGACGGCTTGGAGAACATGCTTCAGCAATTGTTCTGAGTCCATTCCAGTTGGGCTGGCGGCATTCAATGCCTCCTCAGCATCCCGAGGGGGATAGATCAGCTTCTGGTTGATGTAGCACTTGACTCGCTTGGCCAGTTCCCCTGAGATCCTCACTTTTCGATCCCAACCTTCGGAGATCACCGCACCCCAACCCCCAAGGTCTAGACAACAGATGTAGGCCGCTTGCGAGTAGGGGACTGGGGTCTCGCCCAACAGATCGGCTGCGGCATTGTGACCTGCTACACGGCCCAGCAGCAGGGCATGCTGACAGGACATTAGGGCGTGGTGGCCATCAGTGTCAGCCAATGCGCACGCAGCATCGCCCGTCACGAAAATATCCTTTGCGGAAGGTGCACGCAGATCTTGGTCGACAAGAACACGAGAAAGGGTGTCTCTGGCGCCAGGTAGCTGGTGAGTGAGAGGGGTCGCCTGGACCCCGGCTGTCCAGATGGCTGTCTTGGCCTCGATGCGCTCGCCGGACATGAGGGTGACTCCGTCCGCATCGATTGACTGAATGCCGGATCCCAATTTCGTCTCAACCCCGAGGTTCCTCAAGGCTTGCGTAATAACCGGACGCGGTCCGGACCCCAACTCAGGGCCCAGCTCCTCGGCCTTGTCAACCAGAATGATGCGTGGACTGGTAATGTGGCCTAGGCGTTTGGGCAATTCCGCGGCCAGTTCAATACCTGTGAAGCCCGCACCGCATACTATCACGGTATTCCTCTCAGTGCTGGGTGGGAGAAATTGGAGATTGGCAAGATGTGCGTCTAGCTTCGCCGCTGACTCTAACGAGTCCACATCGAAGGCGTGTTCCCGGAGTCCAGCGATACGCTCGGGTTGCACGACCGAGCTTCCCGCTGCCAAGATGAGGCGATTGTAAGATACTTCGAAATCAGACCCATCGGCAGATCGGGTGTGGACAATGCGCGCTTCAGGATCGATTTTCTTCGCGGTACCCTGACAGAACTCAATCCCGGTGGCCTCGAACAGGGGGGCAAGTGGGTGGGTCATGTTTTCAGCGTCCGCCTCATATAGGCGAGGCCGAAGAACCAAGGTCGGACTTGGAGAAATGACCAGGACTTTGACATTCTTGGTCTGGTTCGTGTTTTTGATCAGGCGTTGGGCGGCCAGTGCGCTCCAGAGGCCGGCAAATCCTGTCCCGAGAATAACAATTTTTGTTGGCATATTGGAAAAGACTTAAATGTGTGGTGCAGAAGAGAAATTAAGTAGATCTAACTGGAGAGTGATGAGTGAAGACTGAGGTGGTCGAAGGGCTGGTGGTGGAATGCATTCTAGGTCGATTTTATAGACATCACTGCGGTGTTCCTTGTATAGAGTCAATCTCCTCCAATACCCGAACGGATTCCCGGATTCCCGCCGCTAAACTCTTTCTGGTAAGCTGAGTCATACGCCGGCAATCCATTGAATTTCCTCCCCACTTCTTCTTATCAATTATCAATCAATCTCCTATCATTCTCACCATCACCACCACTTTCTTCTCTATCTACCCTCGTCATGAACCCCAAAGTCACCCGCTCATCACTGGCCTGTCTATCATGTCGCAGTCGACATTTAAAATGCGACGGCAAGCGACCGTCCTGTAGTCGCTGCATAGAAGTCGCCCAGCCCTGCGAGTATACCCGATCGCGTCGCGGGGGACTGGGTCGTGCAGCTTTGGCCGAACGGCGCAAGCGCTTGGCCGCTGCTGCAACAGAGACCAACTTACTCAATGAAATTCCGACGAGCATCCCAAAGCCCGCAGTCCCAACCCCGGCTTCCTTCTCAACACATATCGATCATACAGATCAGGAGATTCTTCTCGACTCCTATTACCGTCATTTTCATCCCTTGCATCCTTGTGTGCTACCCCAGGGTTACTTTCAGACCCTTCTGCAAGATCCCGACCAAAGAATCCGATGGCGGCCCCTGGTCACTATCATGAGCTGCGTTGGACATATCTACCATGCGCGCGAATGGTCAGATTCGTTGGAAGAACAAGCCGAGGCCTGCTTCGCGGAAGCCTCCTCGCTCGATCCGGTCCTGGTTCAATGCCGCCTCCTATACTCCACAGTCCTATTCTGGTATGAGCGAAAGGAAAAAGCCCTGTCCCAGCACAACTTAGCAGTAAAGCTTGCTCTCGATCTTCACATGTTCAAGCCACAATTTGCTCTGACTCATGGGGCCAACGACCCAATCCTGCAAGAATCTTGGAGGCGAACCTGGTGGTCATTGTACGTCTTAGATCTATTCTTCGCAGGTACTCTCGGCACGATGAAGTTTGCCTTCCTCAATATTGAGGCAACGGTGGGACTACCATGTGAGGAGCATGAATATCAGTCAGGTGTAAGAATCAGATCTTCAGATCTCCTGTAATTTGCCACAGACTCTGCGAGCTCACACGGGGATAGGAGATCCCACCCCCCAAGACCCTGCATGATTTCGATTGTCGCGAGTTTGCTCTCGACGATCCGGTCTTTTCTTCCTTTACCTACCTCATCGGTGCCGCCCGATGCGCCGCTCTGGCGATTTCCACTGCTCCGCGAAATACAGTCAAGGAAGACTCGACCCGTGTTATTCAGACTGCCGACTCGATCCTCGACGGATGGTTACTGTTGTTGCCTCAGAGCCGTAAGCAACTCATGAGCAAGACCGGAGAGATTGACGAGCTCATGTTCCAAGCGCACTTGCTCATTCATGTGTAAGCTTCTACCAGTTGAAGTCTTCCAGCGCCCTCGCAAGCCATACTCACCATTCTCCTGAAGTGCGTCCATCGGTCTACATCGGCCCTTTTCCGATCTCAAGTTCAATCCGGTCGAGGACCTATCTAGCTGCGCTCGGGAGCCACCTCCAGATGCTCCCACCCCGGACCTAGTCAACGTCCACACAGTGCGGGTTCTGCGTTCCGTCGACGCCCAAGTTCGGTTGTTGGCGCTACCTGTACAACGATTCCACCATACCCCGTTTGTTACCTGCATGATAAGTGAGGGCGCCCTGTCGCTGCTCTCGGCCTGTTACTGTCTCTTGGCGGGCACTGACCTGGCCATTGCCCGAGATCAAATGCGGATGATCATCGGATGTTTAAAGACGCTGGGTGAACTGTGGCCGCGGACTGCAAAGAATGTTCGTGAAATTCAGACGATTGCAAGCCATGTGCTTGGCCTCACCCCTGCGACCGCCAATGTGCGATCTAGGGAGAGTACTAGCTCTAGTGAGCTTCCTAGTCTGGTTCATGGAGATGGCTCACAAGTATCTGGGACAACCCCTGAGGGCTCGAGCTCTGACTCAGATCTACTTCTCTCTTTAGACTCCCTGCAAGATTTGTGTGGATGGTATAACATGGGTGATCTAGATGCAGACCCTTCGTGGGGCGTAGGAATCGGACTTTGAGGATGAAATCGGCAACAAGTCCACTGCGAGATTGGTATGCAGAGGTTGCCTCTGAGATCTCGAGTTCGGGCCAATCAATATCCACGGATGCGATGCTTCAAAGTATCCCAAAAGAAGAGTTGAGACTGGCCAATGAGCAAACCTCATGATCAAATGAGGATGATTGAATGAAAGAATGACCGTGGATGCAAGTTAGCCAAAAAGCAAATGGCATAGTGGCCAGAGTAGACGTCGATGCTGCTCTGCGGGTGAAAATCCTCGGTAGATATCATTTGACAAGGGCTTTCCACGGAGCCTATAGACGAATTGCCGGTGGATCTCAAACCCATCCACGAGCTAGTTGATGGCCTCAGTATCGGAGGCCTGTTACTCTAGCTCCCCTAATTCTTCCTTTAAAACGAACCACGCCCACTTGCATCGCAATATTACCTTCTCCATTGATAGACCCCGGAAGACAATTCAATAGCGCCGACACTAGTCTGTAGAGTGTTGGTCATCGACTGCCATTGACACCGAAGACTTATCAAATGCTCGTCGGTCCTAACCCTTGCCTCACTGCTTCATCTGTTGCAGAATAATGGTTGCTTTCCATAACAGTGGTATTTTACTCCGTATGTTCCTGTATACTTATCACTAGCCAACTAAGCTCTTAGGCACCCGAACTTAATGCTATTATGTTGATAGAAAAATGACAGTGAACTTGCCTATGCTGAACGAATGCATACGTGTTCATTTTCGCTCACTTGGTGCTCCTTTCCCTACGATAACATTTCTTACCGAACTCGGACAATGTGATGCATAAGACGTTTGCATGAAGACCACCCGTAATTAGCTTTCCAATTTGTAATCCCTAAAGTAGGAATCTGAACCCTTGGCTCACAGCCTGACCAGGTAACCCCTGTTCTTCGTTTTCCCGACGTTGGCCACTCGAAGGTCCCATCCCGGTTCCCTCTTCTCGATCCAGCCCCTTGTTCAGTCGTCCGAGGTAAATCCGCAGGATTGTGGCAAAGATGATAGTCATGGAAGACATCGCGATGTTTACACTGAATGCAGTGATATATCTTGGCGAAGCTGAGTCTGCAAGAGAGATCGTCAGATGACCCTTCATCTCACATGCTTGAATGCTAACCTACTCGGGTAGAGATAAGGTGTATATATCTGACAAACATTACTCAAGCAATTAATCAAGGCCAAGGCCGCCGCTCGTTTGGTCGCAGGACGCGGGAGAACTATTCTATGTCAGTCCTTGTTGCTTTCGAATGTGGATCAAGTAATCAATCGTACTATTAGAGATATATCCCAGTGCCACAACATACCCGGAATAGATTCCTGGAAGCATGATACACATTGCCCTATTCGTTCTTAGCGTTGACAGCCCATCACTGGGGACATAAGAAAACACGAACACGTATCGTGCGGCAAAAGAAGTGCCCGCCATAGCTAGAATAAATGCAACAATAGCAAGGATGGGAGGCAGGACCATGTGTAGATAACGCTCGCCTGTCAAATCCGCATGCCATGCATTGATCAAAACCAGGATGGTTCCGATCAGATATGGTGGTGTCGTGAGCAGCAGCGTCTGGATATTGTTCTTTCCAAGGCCAGCCATCACACTGCAACTGGTTAAGATCCCATTCCTTGTCGACAAATAATTCGAATGCATACCTGGGGAAGAACGTAGTCACCGCTCCTGAGGCAGTGCAGCCATAGATGGTTCCCAGTAGCAGCCAGGCTTTGATGTCACTAAACCGACAGGTCAGTTACGTGATTCAATTGAACTTGAGGGCCCAATCGCCCATTGTGACCTACAAAAATGCCAACTTGGCTCCATGTAACATGGATTGGTGCTGCTGGTCCACCCAGTCATCCTCGCCAATGTCTGCTTCCAATCGCCAGGCAGCCAGAGCTTTTTCTTCCTCTGTCAACCACGGAGTTGTTCTTGGTAAATCTGGAATGATGAAAAACGCGACGAACGCAGCGAATACCTGATGGGAAATTTAGCGTTCCTTATTTAAATGCATGAATTATGGTCTTACAGTAATTGAGCCTTCAATAATAAACAACCACCGCCATGCGTCGATGCCTCGTGCGCCATTCAGCCCACTTGTAATTCCGGCTGAGATTAGACCCGAAAATGCACCCGACAGCAACGAGCCTGAATATAACAGTGCAGTTCGCTTGACGAGTTCTTTTCGGGTGTACCACGCGGAAAGAAGATACAGGCAACCGGGCTATTACTTGATTAGTATAGTCGCAGTCATGTCGCTGTCACCGGTCACACACATACGAAATAAGCCGCCTCCACAAATCCCAGAAAGAAACGGCACAGTAACAGGCCAGTGAAACTGTGCGTGGCAGCGGTGGCGCAGGATATCACTCCCCATACCAGCATACAACCTGGGAGATAAAGAGACGGCTTTCCCAGCTTGTTCAACACCATATTGGATGGCACTGGTGGCAAGTAAAGGGCTTAGTGCAAGAAATGGTACAAAGGTCTGTATCCAGGCATACCTTGCATGAGTAAATACCCAACAAATAGGATGCTGACGGAGAGCTGGATGAAGGTTAGCTGTTGACTGGAGGCCGGTTCCTAAATAATGTACCTACCTGATACTGATCCCCTACTAGATGCAGGTCTTTCTCCAATCCAGCCAGCTTGGCAGCTGCAATATTGTTGCGATCCAAGTAGTTCAGGATATACATCACCACGATCATGATCAGCAGTCGAATGTCCACTTTTCCGACCAACTTCTTCTCCAGTTGTTCTCGTTCATCGCGGGGAAGGTTGCGGATGTTGAATGCCAGGTCAAAAACCTGTCGCTTCGTGGTGTTGCCATCATCACTGTATTCGAGATGGGATGAGGTGATATCTTTGGTCATATCGGCCATGGTGTCAATCAAAAGATTTGGCACGGGTTGCAATTAAGGTGAACAGCTGTGGAAATCCCCGAGTTTCTCCACAGTACCACAAGAAGGGTTGATTGCAGACTCGGATTCCACCAAGCTTAAATGGAGAAGAATCTGGGGTAATTTTGACTGGCATTTGCGGGGTAAGAATGGCCTGGCGAAGAAGACATTTACCCACTCAACCTTTTCTTTTGGCTTTATCGGAAAAGGGCCCCTTGGTCGGATACGACGAGTTTACTTCTTATCCGATAAGAAAAGTACCATAGCCGAGCACGACTAAGCGTACAATCTACATCGAAGTCAACTAAACCGTAGATAGTGTCCTTCAGACTTCGCCCTTAGATACCTTAGTTTTGACTACATTACTAAGTGGGTAGGGATACCCGGTTTTCCTTTGGTATAACCATGGTCCAAGTGGGATCCACGGGGGGCAAATCGTTATAGAAATCAGAAGCCTCGTCACATTCAATTCTATAGCTTTCAGATTCTACTTCACATATCACGCTTGAGCCTTCAACCGCTTCTGCTCTTCCGCCCATGCCAGTGCACTTTTCCGAGCGCTCTCTTCGCCAACCTCGCCAAAGATATCCACCCCGAGACGAGCAGGGAAGTTCATGCGTTGATGTTTTTCCAGACTCTGAATCGCGTTGAATGCCTCGGCGGGGAGCACAAAATCTGGGTGGTAGTGCGCATTTGTCAGGATTGCATTGTCAATAACTACCATATAGTGTATTTGTCGGACACGTACCTTGAAAGTTGCTCTGGATTCTCTCGGGGGTCACCGACTTGGGTAGCACAACGCTGCCGCGCTGAATCGCCCAGCTAATCAATACCTGTGCCGGAGTCTTACCCAGGCTTTTAGCGGTTTCAATGACTAGAGAGTCATCGACAGCCCTAGGTGCATGTCAGTAATCATAGCTCCTCCCTCGGATACTGCGTATTACAAACCGAGGAATATTATAGATGTTGTTTCCGAGGGGAGAGTATCCAGCTACGACGATGCCCTAGACGACCCCCAAGTTAGGAAGCATCTCAGGCACAATCCAGTTACATTCACACTCACTTGTTGCTTCGACCACTCCAGAAGGTCCCGTTGTTGGAGATAGGGATGTGCCTCGATCTGATTCACAGCAGGAGGGATTTTGGCTCTGCATAATAAGTCAGACGATTCGTGTTTTCGAGCGCGTGATTCCATTTCAAGTACGTCTTGAGCAATTCCTCGATTTTCTCGCGGGTAAAGTTGCTCACTCCAATGGAGCGAACCTTCCCCTTGGCCACCAAATCCTCCAACGCCGCCCATGTATCTTTGATTGGCACGTCAATCACGTCGATCAACCCCGTCTCCTCGACGATCGGCTGGTTGGTGGTTGTGGAATGACGGAAAGCGACCGGCCAGTGGATCTAGAACCATTGATCAGTCACGAATAAGAAGCCTTGGGACCATTGTGCCATCGTACCAGATAAAGATCCAGATAATCTGTTTGAAGGTCGGCAAGCGATCGGTTTAGGGCGGCTTCGACATGTTCGGGCTGATGTTGGGTATTCCACAACTTGCTGGTAAGCTGCAGCCACGTTACGGTCAGTCAGGGCTCCAGATCGAGCTTGGCAGGGGAGAGGTTGCGCACGAAAATCTTCTCCCGAGGGACTCCTGAAGCTTTGATGCCGTCTCCAACCTCTTGTTCATTGCCGTAGATGGCGGCAGCATCGATGTGGCGATAGCCACCTTTCAGGGCTGCAATCACGGCCTCGCGCACTTCATTCTTGTTCGATTGCTGGAGGGGTCAGACTGTCAATATCGAGTCTTGTGGGCACTGGGAGCAAAAGTTGAGACCTACCCAGGTCCCCAGCCCGACAGCGGGGATCTCATAGCCAGAGTTTAACTTGAAGGTGTGGCCTGAAGCCATATTGCGGGTGGTAATGAATGTGTAAGGATCTGCTGAGAAGGGAAGAAGAAGTCAAAAAGTTGGCACAGACAACATACACAGAGACAAACCCACTGAACGACGTGCCACCTAGGCTCCTTCTTGTTAGCCCCGCGCTCTTATCAATATCGAGAGTGAGTTAGACGCCATCCGTGCTTGAATGAAGCCAGCCATCTCGGATAAGAAGCGGGGGTGCTTTTGGTTTTCCATGCCTTTTTCCGAGTATGCGTTTTCCGATGGATGTTTTCCGACATCTCCTCTCGCTCCCATCCAGGCATGGAACTGCAACAAATACGAAGGATGCATACCGAGTCTGACCCCTTTGTCCCTTCCTTGCAATCATGGCACCCATCACACAAATTGAATATTTTGAGTTCTACCACGCTGGCTGTTCGTCAAAGTCACGGATGCCGATGGTAACAATGGCTGGGGCGAGGCTTCTCTCGAAGGTCATACCGAAGCCGTTGAGGGCTGCCTCGATGCCTTCACGGCACGTTTCCAGGGCATAGACGCCAAGTGAGTCGGTTTTGTATTCGTGACGATCGGCTCTTGCTGATTTTTTTGGTTTGCCTAGTGCAATCGAGCATATTTGGCAGAATGGCTATCGCATGGGATTTTACCGCGGAGGACCAGTGCTGATGAGCGCCTTGGCCAGGATCGATATTGCTCTCTGGGATCTCAATGGTGAGGAGCCTTCACCTGTTCCCCAGCCCTGCGCAAAGCTCAGACTGAATGTGCATCCTCTCCTAGCCCGACGACTGGGGTTGCCTATCTACGAACTCTTTGGCGGCAAAGTCCGCGATCAATTGCGAGTATACGCGTTGATTGGGGGTGGCCGACCCGGGGATGTGGAAGCACAAGCGTAAGAACCAAGGTCTAATTCTAGTGCTAGGTATGAGCTACTCTGATTTCGATTCCATCTCTGCAGGCGCGCCCGGATTACGCAAGGTTTCAAGGCCGTCAAAATGAACGCTACAGAGGACCTGGGCTGATTGGACTCTCCCCATGCACTGGACGCTTCGGTAGAGCGCTTGAAGACGGTCAAGTCGCCGGGTCTGGATGCTGAGGTGGACTTCCATGACCGCGTGCACAAAGCGATAGCTCTGCAGCTGGCCCACAAGCTCGCCCGTGTGAGCCATTATTTATCGAAGAGCCACTTCTCTCTAAGCAACCCGAGTCGATCGCAGTCCTGTCAAAGCTTGTGCCAATCCCCATTGCCCTGGGAGAGCGCTTGCACAGTCGCTGGGACATCAAACCATTCCTGGAATCCGCATCAGTAAGCATCCTCCAGCCGGATATCTGCCATGTAGGCGGCATTTCGGAGCTGCGCCGCATGGCAACCATGGCTGAGACCTACGACGTTGCCTTGGCCCCTCAGTGTCCCCTTGGGCCGATCGCGCTGGCGGCCAATTTACAGGTTGATGCCGTTTTGGCCAATTTTGTAATTTAAGAGATGAGCGTGGGGATCCTTTATAATCACGGGTCCGCAGTAGATCGGGACGTATGTCAAAAACGCCGAGGTCTGGACTGGCAAAGGCGGCTTAATTCGGCTGATGGACGGTCCGGAATTGGGAATTGAACTCGATGAAATGAAGATCCGGGCTGCAGCTGTCGATGCAGTTGCGTGGCGTAGTCCCAGCTTCCAGGGTCTGGGTAGAGAGTGGTGAGAATGGTAAGCATGATGCTATACACCTAGATAATCCCCGGGTTTTTGGTAGTAGTAGTAGTAGTAGTAGTAGTA